CCCTGGCTCGTCCTCTGTCGCAATTCCCTGGCTCGTCACCAGGCGTTTCCCCCGCACGCTTTGTGGCGCGCCCCTTGCAACGTCTCCTGGCATGACGTCTTCTGGCCGCCCCATGGCACGCGCTTTGGCACGTCCCGTGGCAGGTCTCTGACATGTCCGGAGCACGTCCCCTGATGCGTCCCCTGACACGTCCCCTGGCGCATCCCCTATTGCCCCCCTGGCACATTTTGTGGCGCGTCCGTGAGCCTGTGCCCCGTGTCGTGCCGTTCTTTTTCGGAGCTGAGTCTGATTTTGAGGTCGAGTTGATTGAACGTCCTCCACGTCTTCCACTTCAACTAGTTCTGGGGCAGCTACGATGTGCTCAAGCAGTTTGAGCTTAAGATCCAAATCAGTTCGGTCAGGACTCGGATGCTAAGGAGGGCTTGATCCATAACGCCATACTTCACAATCGCGACATGGCACATCGCAATTCAGCACGGCACAGCACAGCACCACAGCCCTTGGCACGGTATACCAAGATCGTTGCACTCGGCATCGTAATTACCTTTCGCGCAATCAGGTGTATTGAAACGTTGACATGTTTCACATGTATATGATCCTTTCTGGGTTTGTGGGTCGATCCTGTTTTCCAGGAAATAAGTTGTCTTAAGAGATTTTCTGATCTATCCCCCCCAGGGCCTGAGATGTTTAAAGGTTCGTTGGATATTAGTTGGGGTTAGTTGGATTGTTGTGTCGATGTCGGCAATTGTTTGGGACAGCTTAAAAACATGTGTTGGAGACGTTCGGCATATATCTCAACGGTTAGAGATTTCCTGGAAACGTCTTTGGCGCTGCGATGTTGTGTGTAACATTCAGTGGGAGCGGTTCAGGCAGGAGTATGCTGGATGGACCGTGAGATTTGTTCCATGCGCGAATATAGATTAGTGATCTCGATTGGTGTTCGAGCTTACTAGAAATCTTCTGACGCGAGCCTTTTGAATTTGGAGTTGTTTCCTCGGCCTTGCTAGGCGTTCTGTCATAAACGCCCTGTTACACGCAGCCATCCAGTTTTCGCGCCGACGGCCGCAGAACTACCGCCGAAGACCGCAAGAAGACCGCCGAAGACCGCCGAATGCCGATGCGCAATGAGGAGTCCATAGTCGAACACGTGGGGCCTCACGTGGGGTCCAGCTTGCTACAGGTGGGACAGTCTGACGGTAGAGGCCTCAGGAAGAGTTGGTTGACAACGTCGGCAGGGAGCCCAGGCAGGGACAAGTTACAGCCAGGGGCGGAACACTTGTTGGCGACACCCAGATAGAATTCGCTACATTTGCATCCATCACCTCCTGGCAGATGTTGGAAACAGCAGCAGCGGCTTACAAGCACCGCCTGATGAGCATTGACAAACAAACACGAAATCTGAGTTGTATCGCACATGTGGTTCATACTCATGTGGCTAGTGAATCAAGTATGAGGACAGTTTGAAAGAGTGGTTAAACAAATGCGAGACGCTTGTGGAACAAAGTCGCTACAAGATCCGCAAGGTGCGAAATTCTTAATGTTTAGAAACATGTGATGGGCAGTTGGGTGTGGGGGGCAATTTCAGATCTTGCTTGATCCGCCTTCGAGATTCTGTCAAGGGGGCGCGAACTGCGCACAGGGCCAGTCCAAGCAGGTACAGCAGGCCAGCATTGCTGAGATAATACGTATCGACAGCTTTTTGGTTCAATCCGACCGGTCTTCCACTGCCGGTCGTAGGGGTGCGCCGGCGCGCGCTGGGGGCGCAGCTGGACTGCACGAGATGCCGCCGAAGGGGCGCGCTCGGAAGCAAGCCGCGGAGGCCACCCCGGAGCCGAAGGCCACGCCTGGGGTCGACGCCACGCCGGAGGGCAGTAAGCGGCGGAAGGTGCCAGTTCAGCCGAGGCAGGGGAATTACACATCGGTCGTTGAAAGTAGGTATTTTTGGATTCCCTGAACCGAATCTACTTCAAGCGCCTTCCTACTTCAATAATCGATTTGCTTTTGCTGCGCTTTGTTACTCTCTGGGCGGGCCCGAACCCAACATACTTCATCCGCCTTCCTACTTCATGTTTCTACCCACTTCTTCCGACCGATGGGTGCAGATGGGTGAACTCGTGATCACTGGACAGGCCATCGCACATTTTTCGCAGTAGCGCGAAGACGAGCAGCTTTTTCCCGGAAAGGGCTCAGGCCCAGGGTTCTCTTGTAGGCTTGTAGCCTCTCCCCAGTGATAAGTTTGAAGGGGGCCGGCGGATGACGGGAAGCGCGCCAAGACTCGAAGAGTCGCGCGATGGACGTCTGTTTGCCCAGAGGGATTTACTTATCAACTGGGGGAGGTCTGGAGGGGGAACGTGCGGCGCCGCCTCGTGATTCAGAGCCTGGCGGATGACGGGAAGCGCGCTTAGACTCGAAGAGTCGCGCGATGGACGTTGGTGCAGACCCGGAGGGAAATATTTATCAACTGGGGGGAGTGCAGAGGGGGGAAGGGCTCGGGGTTGCTCCTCCGTCAGCCCCAGGCGGATTCCCCAGAATGGCCATTTCGCCTGAGACATCCTCATGAAATGGAGATGTTGGAGGCTATCGTTTAAGGTTTTTTATATTACAAATGACGATTTCGCCTGAGACATCCTCACAAAATGGGGATACTGAAATCGGTCGCGGAATCTTCGGATCTGCAAACATGGGGATCTCGCCTGAGACATCCTCGAAACAATAGGATGTTGAAAAAGCTGCTTTAAGACCTCTTGTTTGACAAATGAGCCTTTCGCCTGAGACATCCTCAGAAAAATTGAGATATTGAAATCTCTTAATAATGCGATAGAATACCTCACTCATGGACGATCGTTCAGGGAGGTGGTGGACGGTTTGCCCGAGATCTATCATTTCCTAATCCCGCACATGCCGGACGAGTTCGACGATGATGATTATAACGAGCGTGATATTCTGCGCTTGATAGTATTTCTTCACGACTCGCAGTTAGTGTCAGTTAGTAGCGTCGCTGAACTCAGGCGGGGAGTGAACTCTAGCTGGTGTTGGCCCTGATCCTCCGCGGGAATCAGCCCCCGCCCGCCGTCCACATATGATATAGCTGTTCGGCTCATCCGGTCTCAGTCTGTCCTATCGGAGAGATCCTTGCACGTACATTTATCTCTCAGTATTTTGCGTTTTCATTTTTCTTTGCAGAATCTGATTATTTCCGTACGTTTCGGGTGAGCGCCATGTCTCAATTTGCGCGGCTAGTGAACCCTATCTGGTATATTTTAGGGAGTTCGGGTGAGGGCCACGTCTGAACTTGCGCGGGTAGTGAACTCCACCTGGTACCCCTTAGGCACGGTCGGGAAGAACGCCTAGGCGACATGCGACATCAATGTTGGTGCACGTTCTTGCCAGGCTCTTCGATTTCACGCGCTTCCCGCTCATGTCAAGATAGGTTCCCAAAACGAGCGTTTCGCCTGAGACGTCCTCGCCACATCGTGAAGTTGGGGGTCGTGACTTAAGGCGTCTTATGTTAAAAATGAGCGTTTCGCCTGAGACATCCTCAAACAAGCTGGATATTGAAATCGCTGGCCTAATCTTCGGAACTTCAAAGACGGCCGTTTCGCCTGAGACATCCTCGGAAAAATGAGATGTCGAAAGAGCTGCTATGAGACATAGCTTCGGGGTGTTATTGCATAACCTTGTATATGATACTTGGTCATTGTATATGATGCTGGTGGTCCTTGTATATGATACCTCCTCTATATTATGCTCTTATATATGATCGCCCTTGTCTATGACATTCCTTGTACATGATGTCTCTTGGCAGGGCTCTTGGAGGCCTCTTGGGCCGTGTTGGAGGCCTTTTGGGCAGTCTGGAAGCCATCTTGGGCCGCCTTGGAGCGATTCTGGGCTATCGTGGTGGCCTGGGTGGGCTTCCTGAGCCGTCATTGAAGCCCTGGACAATCCCAGGGATACGCTATGGCCGCCCAGGGACCCCCGGGAGTAGGGGCGGTGCAGTCGCCTGTATGCGAGACGGCGGGTGGGCGGCCCTTAGTTGTATATGATCTTGTTTGAATATGGCCTTCATTGTATATAATCTTCCTCGTGTACGATGGTCCTTGTATATGATAATCCCTCTATACTGAGTTATTGTATACGATCGTATTGTGAGGCTCTGTTGGGCAGTCGTGAGGGCCGTCTGCTCCTCACGTTCCTCCATCACCTTCGCCCCCTCCTACTCGAACACATCAGATAAGTAAGTGTTTCGCTCGAGACATCCCCCTTGCAAATGCTGTTGAGGAGGTCTTCTAAAACGTACCAGAGCCTCTTCCTCCTGTGTGTTTGCGTGTGTGTGCCTTCGGACGGGCCTTCGAACACATCAAATAAGAGAGGGATAGACGGACGACATTGGAGGCGTACAGAGAAGTGAGGAGGATAATCAGGACTCTCCTTGTGGACGTTCGGAAAGCGCGTGTCCGTAGGTATCCCCTGTGGACGTTCGGACAGCTCGCCTACATTACATTTTATCGTGATGATGCTGCACGTTCTTGCGCAGCTCTGTCCTTTCACGCGCTTCCCGTTCATGTCAGGAAAGGTTTCCTTTCGATGGAAAAAGTAAGTGAAGTCCAATTCGGCGTGGAAAATAACGCGCCCGCTCGAGGAAAGTGCGCTCCCCATTTCGGATCCTTGATCAATGACGGGGTCCGTGGCTCGTTTTTCTTTGTAAAAGTCTGGAGCCCCGGCCGGGACACTAAAGATATTGCGTGCCCGCTCGAGAATGGCGCATCCTGCGCGCAGAACATCCGGGGTCTCGAGCGAAACGCTCGTTTTGCAAAATTTGAACCCAGCGCAACATACGAAGGATTGCAGCTTTGGGGGCGCGGACGCCGAGTACTTCACGAGGGATCGTGGCCCTGGGAGCGCGGAGGCCGCGTGCTTAACGAGGGATCGTGGCCTGGGGAGCGCACATCCAATGTAATTTACAAGGGATCGTGGACGCAGCGTAGTTTACTGGGCAACCGGGCGTTGGGAGCGCGGACGCAGCGTAATGCACTACGGAGCGCGGCTCTGGGAGCGCGGACGCAGCGTAGTTTACGATGGATCGTGGCCCAGGGAGAGCGGACGCAACATAATTTTCGAGGGATCGTGGCCCTGGTAGCGCGGACACAGCGTAATTCACTATGGAGCGCGGCCCTGGGAGCGCGGACGCAACGTAGTTTACTAGGGATCGTGGCCCATGGAGAGCGGACGCAGTGTAGTTTACCAAGAACCGTGGCGTTGGGAGCGCGGACGCAGCGTAATTTACAATGGGTCGTGGCCCTGGGAGCGGGGACGCAGCGTAATTTACAAGGGATCCTGGCCCTGGGAGCGCAGAAGCAGTTTAATTTACATAGGATCTTGGCCCTGGGGGGCGGACGCAGCGTAGTTTACTGGGCAACGGGGCGTTGGGAGCGCGGACGCAGCGTAATGCACTACGGAGCGCGGCTCTGGGAGCGCGGACGCAGCGTAGTCTACGATGGATCGTGGCCCAGGGAGAGCGGACGCAACATAATTTTCGAGGGATCGTGGCCCTGGGAGCGCGGACGCAGCTTCATTTACAATGGATTGTGGCCCTGTGAGCGCGGACACAGCGTAATTCACTATGGAGCGCGGCCCTGGGAGCGCGGTCGCAGAGTAGATTACAAGGGATGGTGGCCCAGGAGAGTGGACGCAGCGTAGTTTACCAGGGATCGTGGCGTTGGGAGCGTGGACAATTTACAACGGGTCGTGGCCCTGGGAGCGCGGACGCAGATTAATTTACAAGGGATCGTGGCCCAGGGAGAGCGGACGCAGCGTATTTTACGATGGACCGTGGCCCTAGGAGCGCCGACGCTATGTAATTTACGAGGGATCAGGGCCCTGGGTTAGGGACGTTCCGTGGCACGTTCCCTGACGCGTTATTTAGCACGTTCCTTGAGGCGTTCCTTGGACCCACGTGCTTTCACGTTTGTTCCGGTCTAGGGCGCAAGGGTCCCAAGTGTTTTCACGTTTGTTCCGCGTTGCTTGGGCGGATCTTGAACATGAGGATCTGTTGAGGGTGTTTCGAGCGAAGCGCTGGTCTTTACGTGCCCAGGCCGTCCGGGCAGATCATTAACACGAGTGTGTGTTGAGGATGTCGAGGGCGAAACGCTCGCTCCGCAGGATTCGTTGAGGATGTCTCGAGTCGAGGTCCTCGCCTGCAGCGAAAAGCTCCTTCTGCAGGGTGTGTTGAGTATGACTCTCACGAAACGCTGGTTGTCCATTGTTTGAGGAGGTGTCGAGCGGGGGCCTTTTCGTCGTCTCGGTTCTTTTCGTTTCGGTTCGGCTTCGCCCCTTGATCGGTTCGTCCCACTTCGGAACTGAATCGGATCTTGAGTTCGAGCTGGTTGAACGCCCCGCATGTTTCTCATGTTTCTGCCCACGCCTGTCGTCGTCACGCTCGGTTCGCTCCGTTGCGGACTTGAATGTCTCGGCCGATGGCTTCGGAACTGAATCGGATCTTGGGCTCGAGCTGGTCGAGCGCCCCGCGCGTCTCGACCAGAACTAGCCCGAGCTATGCGTTCAGGCAGTTCGAGCTTAAGATCCAAATCAGTTCGGCCACGGTCCTGACGCCAAGGACGGCTTGATCCACGATGCAATAGGGCGCGGCACGGTTCAACACGGTGTGACACGTTGAATTCAGCACAGCATGGCACAGCATGACGCAGCACAGCACAGCCCGTGGCACGGCACATAACGATTGTTATTCTGAGCATTGTAATTGTCCGTCGCCCAAGTTTGACGTCTTGGAAACGATGCCATGCTTCACATTTCTACCTTCCTTTCCGGGTTCGTGGGTCGATCATTTATTAAGGTTCGTCATGTTCAGGACTTGTAGGTTTTGCCGTTTGCTTGTTTCCCTGGCGATTCCGAGCTCCCACCCGTCAATTCCCCATTCTCGGTCGTCCTGAAGGTGGGCGGGTCCGATGGCGTTGCCGCCGAGGCCTCATCCGCTGCGGCCTTCTTGTCGAAGCTGTCCGCGGCGGCGAACAGGCAGCAAGTCGCGCCAGCAGCGCCAAACTGCGACACAGGCCGGGAGGTACAACTGGCCCTGGAGTGGGGGCCTCGGAGCTGTACAGTCGGGGCGCTGAAGAAGGAACCCTTTTCGTTTGGGAGGGGCTCGGTGTTCCTCAGTTGTTTTGCAGTGCTCCTTGGGTTTTCCTGAGGTTGCACATGGGAAATCGAGGTTCAATTTCTGGGAGAAGGGGCCTCGTTCCTTATTTAGGGTTCCTTGGGTCAACGCCCCAACTGTAGTACTTCGTGAGTCGTCGATCCGCCACCCGTGGCGGGGCAGCGTGCGCGCGTGGGCCGCGCACCAGCACGCCGCAGCGAAAGAGGTGCCGTGCCCTGGCAGAGCCGTGGGCCCGAGCGCAGGGGCAGCCGTGGGCCCTGGCATCGCTCGGACGTGTGCATTTTTTTTTCCTCCGGCGAGGACCATCGAGGAGCATCCTTTCTCATCTGGCGAAAAAAAGCCACGCACGAAACCGAAAAGTGCACAGGGAATGGACGTCCGACGAAAAATGCACAGGGAATGGGCGTCCGACGAAAAATGCACAGGGAATGGACGTCCGAGCGATGGCCGGGGCAGGGAGCCAGGCGCCGGCCGCTGGCCCCCCCACCATGCCACGGACCTCCCTGGCCCCGGGGTCCAGTGCAGTCGGGGCGCTGAAGAAGGAGCCCTTTTCGTTGGGGAGGGGCTCCGTGCTCCCGAATTGTTTCGCCGCTTGCCGTAGGTTTTCGTTTTGGCTTCCGATGGGAAGTCGGAGCTTACTTTCTGGAAAAAGAGGGCCTCGTTCCTTACATAGGGTTCCTTCGGTCAACGCCCCGACTGTAGGACCGCCCCCGTCAAGGAGCGTACTAACCTTGCGAGCGCAGCAATCCACGAGCGCCCCGAGGCAGCCAACTCGTATCCGATGTGTGATGAGTTCGCGTGCGCGGAACCACCTCGCTCCGCGCTTGCGGTTCAAACGGCAGACGACGACGACGACGACGACGACGACGACGACGACGACGACGACGACGACGACGACGACAACGGGGGCCACGAGGACGTGTCCCGCCCGCCCCAGCGTCGCGCTGGCAAGCGACGATGACGACGGTGTCTCCCGCCCGCCCGACCCACTCGCCACCGAGTCTTCTTCCTCATGGCCGCAGAAGGTTGGCTAAAGTTTGTGTAAATGTACTGTTGGTGTCGGGCCGGACGAAAGGGGGGGATTGGGAGAGGGGGGGTTGCGATATTTGCTGCATGCAGCTGGTTTCGGCCCCACCGAGGGGCCCATTCCTCGATACATAGACGCCTCCGGCGCCGGGAGGCGCCAGGAAAATCAGCTACGTGAGCTGATTCTCAAACCCCCCCTTTGCTATCCCCCCCTTTCGCCCGACCCGAATTTGGCACGCTCCAGGAATGGCTTCGCCGTAGTCGCCTTTCGCCTTCGGCGCAAGCCGGCGGAAGGCCCGCGGAGGCCGGCCGGAGCGAGACGGCAGCGGGCCCGCTGGCGAACGCCGGCGGAAGTTCGGCGGAAGACGGCGGAGGCAAAATCGAGGCGCCCTGGAGCAAAGGTTTCTCAGGAGGAAAAGAAACACACAGACACAATTCATCGTCGATTTCCCAGAAAAATATTGGAAAATGTGGGAAATGGGGGGAAGACAAAAACCCAGATATATATATATATATATATATATATATATATATATATATATATATATATGAAAATATGGGGAATATTTTATTTGTGTGTATTTATTTGTGTGTCCCAGGGCCCCTTCAGTTCCTGGAGATGCCACTCGTTCCGGGTCGGACGAACGGGGGAGGATAGGGGAAGGGGGCGGGGAACGTACGGACAGCTGATTCGTGCACCTGTCTCGCCACCGCCGCCGTGCGCCCTCCTCGATGCGGTGGCGCCTCTGGCGTCTGGAGACTGCTTCGCCAACCCCCTCCGTCCCTTGATCGGAGGAGGGAGGGGCCACACCGCCACCTCCAGGGGGGCCACCTTCAGCGAGGGTCTGCGAGGCCTCCCCGAGCTGGGGCAAGGGGGCGTCTCTGGCGAGGAAGGCGGGACCGCGCCACCAGGAGGGCCCTTCAGGCGCCTCGCGCCAGCGGTGGTGGTGGTGGTGGTGTCGCCGTTTCCTTGTTCCTCCTTTGTTCCCCCCTCCCTTTCGTCCGACCCGATGGACGACTCGCACCCAGCATCGGCCACGCGCAGAGGGGGCGGGGGGAGGGGGGAAGGCTTCTCAGAAGCACTCTGCTTCTCAGCAGGCGCGGGCCCTGCTTCTAGATGTGAGGCCAGTGCCTCCTAAGATGTAGCCTCCTTCCTAGAAGCCTCCCCCCCTCCCCGCACCCCCTTGCGCGCACCGCCGCCGAGTCCGACCCGATTGATGACCCGCATCCCGCAGGCCCCATGTCGCTCTGGAGGAGTGCGCCGGGCGCGAGCGCGACGGCGCTTTCGTCAGCGGCCTTCGACCCCGCCCAGCGGGCCGCGGACCGCGGTAGACGAAAGCGGAGTCAGGTCCTCTGTATGGAGGTTGTTGATACACCTTAGGCGATGCTTAAGAAAACTTAAGTTTTCGGCCAGAGTCTCGATTATTCTTAATGTTTCAGTGTAAATCCTACAAATTTGGTAGAAATTTTGAGTTTTTAGTCAAATTCTGAGACCATGAATTTCTTAACCCATGATTTCTTAAGCATTTCGCAGGGTGTACAGTCAAAATTGATACAGTCGGCCGCGATCGGTAGGTCGACCATGCCAACTAGAGGGTGCCCTTATGTCCTGTCTGCTGTCTACTCCGGCCCATGCCAAACCAGCATGTCCTTTGGTGTTCTGGGGCCACGCTGCCGAAGGAAGGGTCATGTGTCATCTCGGGTGTCCTGGCCAAAGAAGTTCGACTGTAGTAAGGATGATCGATCATCTTGTTTCCTCGGTCATCTTCGGTCAGCCTCGGTCCATACAGTCATACAATCCTTGCATCAGGTCACGGTCGGTCATCTTGCCTCCTCTGCGCAGTCCTTGCATCATTGCCCCTTCGGTCACCTTCGGTCCATCCTCAACCACTTTCGATGGCCAGCCCCGCTCGAAGAGCTTCGGCCTCGGCGTCCAGGGCCCCCTGCATCCTTGCTGCCAGTCTTGACTGCAGCGGGGGTCCTCTGCATGGCGACCGATGTCGTCAAGACGCCGAAACAAGGGCTGCTTCGAGCTCAGGAGGGGCTCCAGTTTCCGGGGGCCCTCCCGCAAACCCGGGTCGGGGAACGTGCTCGTGGCCCGGACCCTGGGCCGGAGGAGGCCCTTCGTTCCTTGCTCGGCGCCCCCTGCGGTGGCCCCACGACCGCGATGCGGCCCGTGCGCACGGTGCGGACGCGCGCCTCTGCTCTTGGCATCGCTCGGACGCGTGCATTTTTTCTCGGCGTGAACCATCGAGGACCATCTTGGACCACCGAGAAAAAAAAACACGCACGAAACCGACAAATGCACGGGAGATGGACGTCCGAGCGACGGCAAGTTCTGGGCTGCCTCTGCGCCCTTGCCTCTGCGGCGCGCCCTTTTGCCGTTCCTGCCGGTCGCCCGCCGCCCCCCCAAAGAGGCCCAGCTTCGGCCTCCCAGGGTCTTGGCGTCCCCTTGCCACCCGTCCTCGATACACCCTTTTGATTCTATGTAGGCTCACGCCACCTCCGCCGACCCCTCTGGGCTGCGCTCCACGCGGCCTGTCCGATCCCTGGGAGGCTCTCGGGGGCGGCGCTTGAGGGGGGCGCTGTGCACCTGCTGACCGCAGCCCCCGCCCAGTCAGCTCGACAGCGAGTGGCCGCCTCCACGTTCTCATGGAGGGCGTCGCGGCCTCCATGCACCTGCGGGCCTGCGCCCGCTGGGTCTGGCCTGGGGGGTCGTTGTCAAGAGGGGCGTTTCGCTGTGGAGCCTCCTCTTCCCACCCCGACCACGAGGCGCGGAAGTTGGGGGACCTCCAGGGGCGCGAAGGCGATCGCGCGATCGCGCTTCGCGCGTCGCGGCCTCGGCCAGATAGCGGCCCTTCTCCAAGGTTCCCTCGCGAGGGCGCGGAGGTAACCGCGCATCGCGGCTCGCCATGCAAGACGTCAGGTGGCATTGGGCTGGCAGGGAGTGGAGAAGGGAGAAGTGGGAGGGGGGAGCAACGAGGGGAGAGAGAGGGGGGCAGGGGTCAGGCAGGCTCACGATGAAGACAGGTCGCTCCAGAGCGCTCGGGCTCTGTGGCGCTCTGGAACGGCCGTGGCGCCCAATTCGTTTTCCAGACCCGCCATGTTGTATCTCAGAGGACCCCAGTTTATCTGAATATGGTTGTGTCTTTACCATAGCCTGCCGTATCTCAGAGGTCCCTTCAGTTGCGGATACAAGGGAGGGTGCATGTGTGTGTGTGTGTGGGGGGGGGGGCTCCGCAGCCTCTGGCACAAACAGCGGTGGTCCGAGCTGCCTGCGGCTCCACCCGAAGACCAAGGTGTCGATGATACCATTCGTTTCCAAGCACGCGCCTCCTGTTGGTTACACTTCCCCAGAGTACGTCCGGTTCCCGGGTCCGCTGAGCCCCTCGTCCAGCATGAGGCTCGACGACGTGCCCCACGCCCTGGCCGCGCTCTCCGAAGTGCACAGCGGCGGGGACGAGCGTGCCAGTCGCAGCAGCACAAGAGCGACCAGCAGCGCCGCCGTGACGACCACGAGTCGCACCGACAGCACCACTCGCGGAAGCACCCGCGCAACCAGCAGCACCACTGATCAGCGCGACGAACACCAGGAGCACCAGCACAACCAGCAGTGTCATTGTGACCAGCACGACTCGGACCACCAGCACCACTCGCAGGACCACCCGTTCCACTTGCAGCAGGCTGTCAATGCATTAGAGAGGTTGCGCATGCTCATCCGAACACGCGTGATGTTAATTTATCTGCCGATGTGTCTCACAACGGTCGCCAGCATCGCGACAGAGACCTCCGTAATAACCGAAGCATTGTACATTGATGGCCCGCGAGTGGCCACTTCTGGCGTGGTTGGGCCTATGCTACAGCACAGCGTTCTCCAGGGATGATGCTGAAGCGGCGTGCAACGCAGATCCTGAATGCTATGCCCTGCATGACACCGGTTGTACGACACGGGTTGTACGGACACTGGCGTGCGGTATTGCTACAGCGCGACCAGAGACATCGTGGCGAACTGCGAGGGCACGGATAGCAGGGCCTGCACCTACCTCAAGAAGCACCAGACGTTTGCACCACCATCGACACCAGCACCACTGCCGACCCCTGCTCCACCACCGACACCGGCACTACCGACACCAGCTATGACGGGTACTTTTGACCATGTGATCAGCCGCCAGATGATTGGAGTTTTCGACGTCACGTTGCTGACGAAGCTCGTGGCCGCGGACGGGGGGAAAGCAGACCAATTCGGGAGGTCGGTGGCTGTGAGCGCCGACGGGTCCCCGGCGGTGGTGGGGGCCCCGATGGACGACGGGAACGACGACGCCCAGATCTGGTCAGGGTCCGTGTACGTGTTCGACGCCGGCGGCGCGCAGTGGGTGAAGCTCGTGGCCGCGGACGGGGCCGCCTTCGACCCTTTCGGGGTCTCGGTGACCGTGAGCGCGGACGGGTCCCGGGCGGAGGTGGGGGCTCGTCTTGACGACGACGCTGGGATTTCGTCCGGGTCCGCGTGCGTGTTCGACGGGGCCAGCGGCGCGCAGCTGGCGAATCTCGTGGCCGCGTACGGGGTAGCCTTCGACCAATTCGGAAGGTCGGTGGCCGTGAGCGGCGACGGGGCCCTGGTGGTGGTGGGTGCCCACTACGACGACGACGCCGCGCCCGGCGTTGGGTCCGCGTGCGTGTTCGACAGGATCAGCGGCGCGCAGTGGGTGAAGCTCGTGGCCGCGGACGGGGTCGCCAACGACTGCTTCGGGAGCTCGGTGGCCGTGAGCGCCCATGGGTCCCAGGCAGTGTCGGGGGCCTATTGCGACGACGACGCCGGGTCCGCGTCCGTGTCCGCAGACGTGTTCGACGGGGCCGGCGGCGCGCAGTTGGCAAAGCTCGTGGCCGCGGACGGGTCCGACGGCGACCCTTTCGGGGCCTCGGTAACCGTGAGCGGGGACGGGGCCCTGGTGGTGGTGGGTGCCGAAAATCAAGGGGATAAGAAACGCCCCTACCCTGGTTTACGAGGCGCTGTGCGCTGAAACTCCTGTGGGCTGACAGGGTAAACCCTGCGTGATGTGCCGCGTCCTGGCGGCTCTAGGCTTTGGGGGTCCCCAGGAGGTTTACAGACCACGCACTTGTAACCCAGGGTAGGGTCGTTTTTTCATCCCTCAAGAAAAGGGAAAAGACGACGACGACCCCACGCCCCGCGCTGGGTCCGCGTACGTGTTCGACAGGGCCTGCGGCGCGCAGCTGGCGAAGCTCGTGGCACTGGACGGCGCACACGCGCAACCCCACGGACAGGATATTTATCACGCGGGGAGTCCGGCAAGGTGGAGCTGGAAGGCCCGGCCTTCTCGTCGTGGCCCACGACCGCTTCGTAACAAGTCTGTCGGTGGTGCAGGAAGTCGAGGAGTGCAAGGTCATCAAGGTGCACTGCGACCCGACGCTCAAAGTTAACAGGTGCACCGACAGCCTAAAGGAGGAACGTTGCGAGAGTCTCCACGTGTCCCACCTCAAGTTCCTGCACGACCTGCTCTCGCTCACATAGGTGGAAGACTACGACGAGGTCTCAAACTGCATCGAGATCGCGACGGGCGAGATCAACCACGGGGGGACGCAGGTCAATGTGAAAAAGACAGCTTCTTCTCACGCCGTCGGGGGTGGGCAACAAGAAAAGGTTGAAACGCATCCGGGCTCGCACCATTGGCGTAGTTGCGTGGCAGGACGATGATTGTTTCCCGCTCCGCCCCAAGGCGTCCGTCAAGCACTTGGGCGCGCAGCCAGGGGCCACAAGTCACGAACAGGACCCAGGCAGCCAGCGCCACGCATGCTAGACTGCTCCGTCGAGCCTTTTTGTACGGCGCGGTTGAGTCCCAGGGTGAAGATACGGTTGTGGAAGGCGTCGATTCGGTCTCTGTGCTTGAACTGCGAATCGACTCGAGGCGCTGCAGGTTCGCTAGCTCCGAGGACTTGTACGTTTCCCAGCCCACTTCTTCAAGAAGTACAGTCGCGAGATACGGCGCGCGACCAGGACTGCGAGGGACACTAGCAAGGTGTCGTTGAGGCGGCTGCGGTGGTGGAGGCAGGTGCTCCAGCCAGCTTTTTGAGGACCACGCGAGGACAGGTACGACCCCGCGCAGGCTGTCCACGCGGCCATCTCCGGGAGGTTCTCCATCGAGACGGCGGGGACCAAGGAGCCGTCGTGCATGATCGCGCTGGTGAAATAGGATGCGCATGAGCAGCTGGGGGCCCGCCACCTTTTCCTCCTTCTGCGCGGCGACCTCCCGGAGCTGACTGAGCCGTGGTTGAGGCGTTTGGTGTCCCTGGGGCAGCGGTGTGTTCGGCGCGTTCTCACTTTCGGAGGCGACGACGAACCTGCTGCAGTGGCACCTGTCCTTACTTGATTGGAGTGCGACGCGTGCTGTCCAAAACGCAATGGGGAAAATGTATTGGCCAACCATAAACTTGCAGCTCGCAGAGTCCACGCTACCTCGACGGCGGCGGCAATATCAGATAAAGAACTAAAACAGAAGAAGTGCCCGTTTAGTGGCCGTGAGTTTGCGTGGAAAATACGCTGGCCAGTTGCATCCTCCTGAAATGATGCCCTACGCGTTCAGACGACGCTGCGGCTCAAGCTCCACAGGAGGAGCTTCTCGCGGCGGCAAAAGCGGGCGCCGATGTTCCAGCCGATCGGGGAGGCGCAGGCAGTGCCGGCAGGAGGCCAGAAGCGGGCGGCAGCCGCGGCAGGGGACGGGGTCGAGGCAAAGGGCGAGGCCAGCGACATCGCTGGACCGCTGGGCAAGGCGCTGGCGAGGCTGGTACTGCAGCACGAGGACATGGCGAGGTCGCCCCACCGCGAAGACAGCTTCGTCATCCCGCTGAAGTCGCACAGCAAGTTGGAGGCGGCGCTGGACCAGGCCTTGACGCACTACGAGGACGAGGGCCGCGAGGCGAAGGAGAAGGCTCAGGAAATGAGCCGAGACTATATGGGCAACCCGTAGGGGAAGAGGCCCCGGTCGTCTTCCGCATCGCGGAGGCGGTGGAAGCCACGACGGCGCGGGCAACGGCGGCGGCGGAGCAGGACATGGAACCGATGGGGGCCAAGCAGGCGATCGAGGTGGTTCTCCGCATGGGCAAGGTGGTGCAGGACCCCCCGGTGAAGTTCGTGGCCACTCGGTGCTTCCGTGTGAAGGCCAGCAAAGACGGCGAGGAAGAGGGCGAGGCTGCGTGTCCAGGAAAGGTGAAGTGGATCTTCGCCGTCAAAGGGGGGCAAGTCGAGGGCTGCGGTGAGGGGACAAAGAATCAGAAGAGGAAGTGATCGGTGCGCCTTTAGCTTCGTCCTCCCTCCCTCCCCTGAAACCCCCGTCTTTTCGGGCCCTTCGAGCTTCTCCCTCAGCCCCAGCTAGTCAGCAGACGAGGCTAGAGCATTACTTCAATTTTTGGGCCTCGGCTGGTCGAGGCCAGTGTTGGGCCGCGCTAGTGCGGGGGCCTTGCTCTTCTCTCCACCAGAGCAGGGGGAGTGCCGCCCCTGCATGTGACACCCCTGCAGAGGTGGGGGTGCGCGGGAAAGGGGCTGAGGCCCAGCTGCCTCGTCGCCTCCGCGCCCGCCCCCCCTTAGGGCACCGACCGACTTCGGGCGCGGTTTGCTGGTAGTTTTGTCGCCCCCGCTCAGATCCCGAGGGAACGGGAGCGGCGTTGGAAACATGATCGACCCACGAACCCGGAACGGAATATAGAAATGTAAGGCATTGCATCATTTCAAAGACATTTGATTGGGCGACGGGCACGTGCAATGCTGAATGTATCGATGATGATGTACTGTGCCGAGAGCTGTGCTGTGCTACGCCGTGCTGAACTGCGATGTGCCATGCCGCGATTGTGCTCTATTTCGCGTTGTGGATCGAGTCCTCCCTGTCATCCGAGTCCTCACCGAATTGATTTGGAGCGTAAGCTCGAGCTGCCTGAGCAGATGGTAGTTGCCCCAGAACTAATCGACAGAGGGAACATGCCAGGAGGACGCGCCGCGGAACGTCCCAAGGGACGCGCCAGGCGACGTGCCAGGGGACGTGCCATGGGGACGCACCGCGGGACGTGCCAAGGGGACGCGCTACGGAACGTGCCAATGGACGTGCCGAGGGACGTGCCAGGGGACGCGCCGCGCGACGTGCCAGGTGGACTCGCCACGGAACGCGCCAAGAAACGTGCCAAGGTGCATAGTTGAGTCTATCGATCTTGATGTACCTTGCCGACGGCTGTTCATTGCTGGGCCGTGCTGAACTGCGATGTGCCATGCCGCGATTGTGCTCTATATAGCGTTGTGGATCGAGTCCTCCTTGCCATCCGAGTCCTCACCGAACTGATCTGGATCGTAAGCTCGAGCTGCCTGAGCAGATGGTAGCTGCCCCAGAACTAATCGACAGAGGGAACATGCCAAGAGGACGCGCCGCGGAACGTCCCAAGGGACGCGCCAGGCGACGTGCCAGGGGACGTGCCATGGGCACGCACCGCGGGACGTGCCAAGGGGACGCGCTACGGAACGTGCCAATGGACGTGCACCGCGCGACGTGCCAGGGGGACTCGCCACGGGACGCTCCGCGGAACGTGCCAGGCAACATGCCAGGCTGCAATGCTAAGGGTATCGATATTGATGTACCGTGCCGAGGGCTGTGCTGTGCCTGGGCGACCTGGACACGTGAAAACACGCGTTTCGCTCAAGACGTTGTCAGCACATCCTCATGCTAGACATCCGCCTGGGCAACCTGGACACGTGCAAACAAGCGTCTCGCTCGAGACATCCTCAACAAATGCTCATGCTAGACATCCGCCTGGGCGACCTGGACACGTGAAAAAAAGCGTCCGGTTCGAGACATCCCCAACAAATCCTCATGCCAGACATCTGTCTGGGCCACCTGGAGGCGTGAAACCAAGCGTCTCGCTTGAGACATCCTCAAGACTTGGGCACGTGAAAACAAGCAATCCACTTGAGAGATCCTCAGAATTCAGGTCCCCAGGAGAGGACAATCTTTTACACAAAACAAGCGTTTCGCTCGAGACATCCTTAACACATTCTGAAAAACAAGCGTTTCGCTCGAGACATCCTCAAATTTTAATTCGCCGGTCCTACGCGAACTCGTTATTTATCGCAAAAGAAATTCGCCGGCCCTACAGCCGTCAAAACCGGGGGTAAACCTACTAAAAGAGAACCCTGGGCCTATGCCCTTTCCGGGAAAAAGGAAAGTCGGCGGAAGCCGGCGGGGGTAAAACGGGGGCGGCTCCGTTGGCGGAATGCGGCGGATGGTCGGGGGGACATGGTAGAAGCAAAAGGGGCGCCGCCAAGCGATGGCAGAGTTTTTTGGTTCAGTGATTCTGGAAGCCGACATACCTGCTGCCGCGTTCTCTTGGCCCTGGCACCGGTGCGATCGAGGCCGTTCTCCTCCTTCCGAACAGCCGTGCCCCTGAGGGGGGCCTGGGCGCTCGCAGTGCTGGAGGCCGTTTGAGCTCGAAGCGCGCCCTGCCTGACCCGTCGCGCCTTGCCCGACTTCACGGTTTCCTCTCGTCTCCTACCCGCAAAAGTCCTCAATCTGATTCGAGGTCTCGTTTCACCTCTCCGCAGGACTTCCCGGTCGGGAAGCCCGTGGGTTTCGAGTTGGTGTCCCGGGCTCTCACGGAGATCGAGGCGCTGAAGAACAGCGGCAAGGGCTCTCGGAAAATCATGACTGTCATTCTAAGTAACGTATTCCGGATCCTGATACATTCGAGGCCGGAGGATTTGGCGCCCACCATCTACATTTTGAGCAACAAGGTGGCACCAGACTACGAGGATGCTGAGCTCGGTGTCGGCGATAGTACCGTCATCCGTGCTCTTTGCGAGACTTTCGGAAGATCGGAGAAGCAGATCAAGAGCATGATCGGGTCGGCCGACGCCAAAGACTTAGGGGAGGTGGCCCTGCAGAGCTCCCAGTCTCAGAAGAGGCTCATGATGCCTGCGAAGCTGACCATAGAGAAGGTCTTCAGCGAGATGAAGGCTGTAGCGCACGCGTCCGGCAAAGATTCGCAGAAGTTGAAGAAGGAGAAGATTCAGAAGTTGCTCGTTGCGTGCCGAGAGGATCAGGGGCAACGTCAGGGGGGATACAGTGAATCCGCGCAGTAAGGATGAGCAACTTTTCAAGGCTACACTTGCATCCTTCCCATTCGGCCCATCCTTGGCCGCTCTCGCTGGCCGCGCCCCGCTCGCAAAGTGTTGGCATGGCCTTCCAAGGCCTTTGCATCCTTATCGTTCTCCTTATTATATGGGTCGACTGTGGGCCCAGGGGTGGATGCATGGACCCCGAATCGTCCATTTATCACCGATGGGTGCCTGATAGCCCCACCCGCCCAGGAGCGTGTGGTCACATGATCGAGGGCCGATCGCCGATTTATCGGCGAGGTATCCTTGATCCGAGCTCGATGCTTCCCCCCTGAGCTAGTCCCCCCCATCAGTGCCCCTCAGAGGAGGAGGCAAAGTTTATCGTCAGGACGTTCCAGTCGAAGCTGCGTATCGGCATCCAGCTCCCAACGGTGATGCAGGCCCTGGCCTACGCCTTCGTGCTCACGTCGCCGGACCGCTCGGGCGCGCCGCGGGTGGCCGACACCCGCAAGGGTGCGGACAAGATGTCGGAGCAGAAGTTGGACGAGACCAGTCGGGTCGGACGAAAGGATGGCGATAGGGCAAAGGGTTGATTTTTGAGGTTTTCAGGCGTTTTCGTCGGTTCCCGACGGTCCTCCAGACTCGTGATGCTTTCCAGCAGCTGCGCCCCGCCGAGGGCACTCCGGGGCTGCCAGGAGAAGTACGAATGGCCGCTGGAGACCCGACGTCTGACCTGAAAGCCAGACGAGGTTCATTCGGAGGGATTGGGAAACGGGGGGGGCCGAAATCTGCTACGTGCAGCTGGCTGGGGCCTCGATGCCGAGCACCTCTCCTCCACGCGTTGGCGCCTCCGGCGCCGGGGAGGCGCCGGGAAAAGCAGCCGCGCCAGCTGATTCTTTCATCCCCTCTTTGCCGGCCACACCATTCGTCCGACCCGAGCCATGTCTGCGATGGAGGCGGCGGTGCGGCAAGCATTCAGCGAGATGCCTAACATCGACAAGCTCGTGGGGGCTCTCCTGGAGGGCCGGAACGCCGAGACCCTGGCTGACGCCTGCAGCATCTCGCTGGGGATCCCGGTGAAGCCGATGTTGGCGAAGCCCTCCAAGGGCATCGGTGATCAGGGGCAGCGATAGGGGGGGCAGGCCCAAGGGGGAGGCGCATCGGCCCCCAATCGCCCATGCATCGCCGATCGGGACCCGATAGCCCACCCCGCCCAGGGACGTGCGCGGAATCGCTATCGGCGCTTATCGCCGATACTATGAGATATCATATCTCTATATCATATCTATATATATATATATAGATCTATATATACAAGACTGCAGTGGCGCTTCGCGCCATGCACCTTGGTCCTTGAAGATTGGTATGCAGGCGGAAATGGCAGGAAGGTCAAGCGGACAATTTAGCGATAACTCCTTGCTGCCTTTTCTGGCATCGCCATTATAGTAATGTTGTTCGTTATCCTTCCTCCATGCTTGCTGTTCCTCATTCTCGCCATGCCCTGGGCATTCTCCTCATCCTCCTCAGCTCTTTTTGCGGAGGCTCCTCCTTGGAGAGCCTCTGGGGGCCTCACCAAAGTTCTCAGGCTTTCTTAAAGCCTTCTGGAGGCCTCTTGGGCGTGTTCTGGGGGCCTCTGGGTCTTCCTAAAGCCAACCTGCCTCTAACCGCGGTCTCCCTGAACGCCCTGGTCACGATTTGGAATGCTTTGGAGGGTGTCTTGGGGCCATCTTGGGCCGCCATGGGGCTCTCTTAGGGCAATTTTGGACCCCTGTTGAGCCGTTTTGCGGTTCTCTTGGACTGCCTGGAAACCCTTTCGGATGGTTGTGGAGCGATTTTGGAACCTCCCAGGCGACTTCGGACGCCCAGAAGACCGCTGTCTTGGAGCGTCGGGAAGCCGAAAAGAGAAGAACCCCAAATGCACCAACATGATGGACCCACGAACCCGGAAAGGGATATAGACATGTGGAGCATGGGCACGTTTTCACGATACCCAACGGGGCAACACCTCACGAAACATCCCACGAGACACCTCACGAAACATCCCACGAGACACCTCACGAAACATTCCGCGAGACACCTCACGAAACATTCCACGAGACACCCCGCGAAACATTCCACGAGACACCCCACGAAACATTCCACGACGACAGGCAACCACTCAACCAAGGCGGTGTGGTCGTGCTGGGGAGTGGTCGTGCTGGGGAGTGGTCGTGCTGGGGGGTGGTCGTGCTGGGGCGTGGTCGTGCTGGGGGGGTGGTCGTGCTGGGGGGTGGTTGTGCTGGGGCGTGGTCGTGCTGGGGCGTGGTCGTGCTGGGGCGTGGTCGTGCTGGGGCGTGGTCGTGCTGGGGTGTGGTCGTGCTGTGGTGTGGTCGTGCTGGGGTGTGGTCGTGCTGGGGTGTGGTCTTGCTAGGGTGGGGTCGTGCTGGGGTGGGGTCGTGCTGGGGTGGGGTCGTGCTGGGGTGTGGTCGTGCTGGGGCGTGGTCGTGCTGGGGTGGGGTCGTGCTGGGGTGGGGTCGTGCTGGGGTGGGTCGTGCTGGGGTGGTGTGGGGGTCGTGCTGGGGTGTGGTCGTGCTGGGGTGTGGTCGTGCTGGGGTGTGGTCGTGCTGGGGCGTGGTCGTGCTGGGGTGGGGTCGTGCTGGGGTGGGGTCGTGCTGGGGTGTGGTCGTGCTGGGGTGGTCCGCACCCTGTGATTCATCGATCGGGTCGTGCTGGGGTGTGGTCGTGGTGGGGTGTGATCGTGGTGGGGTGTGGTCTGGGGTGTGGTCGTGCTGGGGTGTGGTCGTGCTGGGGTGTGGTCGTGCTGGGGCGTGGTCGTGCTGGGGCTGGTCGGTGTGGTCGTGCGTGGGGTGTGGTCGTGCTGAGGGGTGGTCGTGCTGGGGGGGTGGTCGTGCTGGGGTTGGTCGTGCTGTGGAGTGGTCGGGGGGTGGTGGTCGTGCTGGGGGTGGTCGTGCGGGGTGTGGTCGTGCTGGGGGGGTGGTCGTGCTGGGGGGTGGTTGTGCTGGGGCGTGGTCGTGCTGGGGCGTGGTCGTGCTGGGGCGTGGTCGTGCTGGGGTGTGGTCGTGCTGTGGTGAGGTCGTGCTGGGGTGTGGTCGTGCTGGGGTGTGGTCTTGCTGGGGTAGGGTCGTGCTGGGGTCGGGTCGTGCTGGGGTGTGGTCGTGCTGGGGTATGGTCGTGCTGGGGTGGGGTCGTGCTGGGGTGGGGTCGTGCTGGGGTCTGGTCGTGCTGGGGTGTGGTCGTGCTGGGGTATGGTCGTGCTAGGGTGGGGTCGTGCATTTCGCTCGAGACATCCTGCCAAAATTCCAGGAAATCGTACAAAAACAAAGGAATTAGTCGAGACATCATCGAAATTCCTTCGCGCGGGGCGCTTTTCCGCGTCGCGGTCGGCTCTGCAAAACAAGCGTTTCGCTCGAGACATCCTCGGCAAACTCTGCGGAGCAAGCGTTTCGCTCGAGACATCCTCAACACACGAAAAAGTGGCCCGCACCCTGTGATTTATCGATCGGGATTTCAAAAACAAGCGTTTCGCTCGAGACATCCTCAAATTTTAATTCGCCGGCCTCCTTCGACCTCGTTATTTATCAGGGAAAAAATTCGCCGGCCTCCTTCAAGTTGGCACCGGGGGACAGGTTTACCTACTAAAAGAGAACCCTGGGCCCGTGCCCTTTCCGGGAAAAAAAGTGTCCCGCACCCTGTGATTTATCGATCGGGATTTCAAAAACAAGCGTTTCGCTCGAGACATCCTCAAATTTTAATTCGCCGGCCTCCTTCGACCTCGTTATTTATCAGGGAAAAAATTCGCCGGCCTCCTTCAAGTTGGCACCGGGGGACAGGTTTACCTACTAAAAGAGAACCCTGGGCCCGTGCCCTTTCCGGGAAAAACCTACATTAAATTGATTAGTTGTCCCTCTTGGCGCCTTCTTGGGGGTGCTCTTGGAGGCCTCTTGGTACGTTTTGGAGCGATCTTTCGGAGTATGACGGCTTCTTGGAGCGCTCTTGTGCTGTCTTGGGGTTCTTTGGGACGTCTCCGATGACCCCGCTGATCGCCCTAGGTGTGCTGCGAAGGCTTGGCAAAACGCCCTGCGAGTCCCTGGGGGCCGCTTCGAGGCCCGTCCGAAGGGTCCCAAAGCCCCAGATCCCAGGAGTCCGGTTTTTTTTGGAGGGGGGTGACGGGTTTTCCCCCCGCCCGGGCTTGTAAAAACATGATGGACCCACGAACCCGGAAAGGGATATAGACATGTGGAGCATGGACACGTTTTCATGATACCCAACTGGGCAACACCTCACGAAACATCCCACGAGACACCTCACGAAACAGCCCACGAGACACCTCACGAAACATTCCACGAGACACCTCACGAAACATTTCACGAGACACCCCGCGAAACATTCCACGAGACACCCCACGAAACATTCCACGACGACAGGCAACCACTCAACCAAGGCGGTGTGGTCGTGCTGGGGCGTGGTCGTGCTGGGGCGTGGTCGTGCTGGGTCGTGGTCGTGCTGGGGCGTGGTCGTGCTGGGGCGTGGTCGTGCTGGGGTGTGGTCGTGCTGTGGTAAGGTCGTGCTGGGGTGCGGTCGTGCTGGGGTGTGGTCTTGCTGGGGTGGGGTCGTGCTGGGGTGTGATCGTGCTGGGGTGGGGTCGTGCTGGGGTGTGGTCGTGCTGGGGTGTGTTCGTGCTAGGGTGGGGTCGTGCTGGGGTGGGGTCGTGCTGGGGAGTGGTCGTGCTGGGGTGTGGTCGTGCTGGGGTGTGGTCATGCTGGGGCGTGGTCGTGCTGGGGTGGGGTCGTGCTGGGGTGGGGTCGTGCTGGGGTGGGTTCGTGCTGGGGTGCTCCGCACCCTGTGATTTATCGATCGGGTCGTGCTGGGGTGTGGTCGTGCTGGGGTGTGGTCGTGCTGAGGTGTGTTCGTGCTGGGGTGTGGTCGTGCTGGGGGTGTGGTCGTGCTGGGGTGTGGTCTTGCTGGGGTGTGGTCGTGCTGGGGGGGTGGTCGTGCTGGGGGGTGGTCGTGCTGGGGCGTGGTCGTGCTGGGGCGTGGTCGTGCTGGGGCGTGGTCGTGCTGGTGCGTGGTCGTGCTGGGGTGTGGTCGTGCTGTGGTGAGGTCGTGCTGGGGTGTGGTCGTGCTGGGGTGTGGTCTTGCTGGGGCGTGCTCGTGCTGCGGTCGGGTCGTGCTGGGGTGTGGTCGTGCTGGGGTATGGTCGTGCTGGGGTGGGGTCGTGCTGGGGTGGGGTCGTGCTGGGGTCTGGTCGTGCTGGGGTGTGGTCGTGCTGGGGTATGGTCGTGCTAGGGTGGGGTCGTGCATTTCGCGCGAGACATCCTGCCAAAATTCCAGGAAATCGTACAAAAACAACGAATTTATCGAGACATCCTCGAAATTTCCCTTCGCGCGGGGCCTTTTTTCCCTTCCGCGTCGCGGTCGGCTCTGCAAAACAAGCGTTCGATCGAACATCCTCGGCAAACTCTGCGGACAAGCGTTTTCGCTCGAGACCACTCCTCCACACACAAAACAGAAAAAGTGGCCCGCACCCTGTGATTTTATCGATCGGGATTTCAAAAACAAGCGTTTCGCTCGAGACATCCTCAAATTTTAATTCGCCGGCCTCCTTCGACCTCGTTATTTATCAGGGAAAAAATTCGCCGGCCTCCCTCAAGCAGGCACCGGGGGATTAGGTTTACCAACTAAAAGAGAACCCTGGGCCCATGCCCTTTCCGGGAACATGATGGACCCACGAACCCGGAAAGGGATATAGACATGTGGAGCATGGGCACGTTTTCACGATACCCAACGGGGCAACACCTCACGAAACATCCCACGAGACACCTCACGAAACATCCCACGAGACACCTCACGAAACATTCCGCGAGACACCTCAAGAAACATTCCACGAGACACCCCGCGAAACATTCCACGAGACACCCCACGAAACATTCCACGACGACAGGCAACCACTCAACCAAGGCTGTGTGGTCGTGCTGGGGAGTGGTCGTGCTGGGGTGTGGTCGTGCTGGGGGGTGGTCGTGCTGGGGTGTGGTCGTGCTGGGGGGGTGGTCGTGCTGGGGGGTGGTTGTGCTGGGGCGTGGTCGTGCTGGGGCGTGGTCGTGCTGGGGCGTGGTCGTGCTGGGGCGTGGTCGTGCTGGGGTGTGGTCGTGCGGTGGTGAGGTCGTGCTGGGGTGTGGTCGTGCTGGGGTGTGGTCTTGCTGGGGTAGGGTCGTGCTGGGGTCGGGTCGTGCTGGGGTGTGGTCGTGCTGGGGTGTGTCGTGCTGGGGTGTGGTCGTGCTGGGTGTGGCGTGCTGGGGGTCTGGTCGTGCTGTTCTGCTGGGGTGTGGTCGTGCTGGGGTGTGGTCGTGCTGGGGTGTGGTCGTGCTGGGGTGTGGTCGTGCTGGGGGGGTGGTCGTGCTGGGGGGTGGTCGTGCTGGGGCGTGATCGTGCTGGGGCTTGGTCGTGCTGGGGCGTGGTCGTGCTGGGGTGTGGTCGTGCTGTGGTGAGGTCGTGCTGGGGTGTGGTCGTGCTGGGGTGGGGTCCTGCTGGGGTGTGGTCGTGCTGGGGTGTGGTCGTGCTGGGGTGGGGTCGTGCTTGGGTGGGGTCGTGCTGGGGTGTGGTCGTTCTGGGGTGTGATCGTGCTGGGGTGTGGTCGTGCTGGGGCGTGGTCGTGCTGGGGTGGGGTCGTGCTGGGGAGTGGTCGTGCTGGGGTGTGGTCGTGCTGGGGTGTGGTCGTGCTGGGGCGTGGTCGTGCTGGGGTGGGGTCGTGCTGGGGTGGGGTCGTGCTGGGGTGGGTTCGTGCTGGGGTGCTCCGCACCCTGTGATTTATCGATCGGGTCGTGCTGGGGTGTGGTCGTGCTGGGGTGTGGTCGTGCTGGGGTGTGGTCGTGCTTGGGTGGGGTAGTGCTGGGGTGGGGTCGTGCTGGGGTGTGGTCGTGCTGGGGTGTGGTCGTGCTGGGGTGTGGTCGTGCTGGGGCGTGGTCGTGCTGGGGCGTGGTCGTGCTGGGGGGTGGTCGTGCTGGGGGTGTGGTCGTGCTGGGGGGTGGTCGTGCTGGGGCGTGGTCGTGCTGGGGCGTGGTCGTGCTGGGGCGTGGTCGTGCTGGGGTGGGGTCGTGCTGGGGTGTGGTCGTGCTGGGGTGTGGTCGTGCTGGGGTGGGGTCGTGCTTGGGTGGGGTCGTGCTGGGGTGGGGTCGTGCTGGGTGTGGTCGTGCTGGGGAGTGGTCGTGCTGGGGTGTGGTCGTGCTGGGGGGTGGTCGTGCTGGGGTCTGGTCGTGCTGGGGTGTGGTCGTGCTGGGGTATGGTCGTGCTAGGGTGGGGTCGTGCATTTCGCTCGAGACATCCTGCCAAAATTCCAGGAAATCGTACAAAAACAAAGGAATTAGTCGAGACATCATCGAAATTCCTTCGCGCGGGGCGCTTTTCCGCGTCGCGGTCGGCTCTGCAAAACAAGCGTTTCGCTCGAGACATCCTCGGCAAACTCTGCGGAGCAAGCGTTTCGCTCGAGACATCCTCAACACACGAAAAAGTGGCCCGCACCCTGTGATTTATCGATCGGGATTTCAAAAACAAGCGTTTCGCTCGAGACATCCTCAAATTTTAATTCGCCGGCCTCCTTCGACCTCGTTATTTATCAGGGAAAAAATTCGCCGGCCTCCCTCAAGTTGGCACCGGGGGACAGGTTTACCACTAAAAGAGAACCCTGGGCCGGAGCCCTTTCCGGGAACATGATGGACCCACGAACCCGGAAAGGGATATAGACATGTGGAGCATGGACACGTTTTCACGATACCCAACTGGGCAACACCTCACGAAACATCCCACGAGACACCTCACGAAACAGCCCACGAGACACCTCACGAAACATTCCACGAGACACCTCACGAAACATTTCACGAGACACCCCGCGAAACATTCCACGAGACACCCCACGAAACATTCCACGACGACAGGCAACCACTCAACCAAGGCGGTGTGGTCGTGCTGGGGAGTGGTCGTGCTGGGGTGTGGTCGTGCTGGGGGGTGGTCGTGCTGGGGTGTGGTCGTGCTGGGGGGGTGGTCGTGCTGGGGGGTGGTTGTGCTGGGGCGTGGTCGTGCTGGGGCGTGGTCGTGCTGGGGCGTGGTCGTGCTGGGGCGTGGTCGTGCTGGGGCGTGGTCGTGCTGGGGCGTGGTCGTGCTGGGGTGTGGTCGTGCTGTGGTAAGGTCGTGCTGGGGTGCGGTCGTGCTGGGGTGTGGTCTTGCTGGGGTGGGGTCGTGCTGGGGTGTGATCGTGCTGGGGTGGGGTCGTGCTGGGGTGTGGTCGTGCTGGGGTGTGGTCGTGCTAGGGTGGGGTCGTGCTGGGGTGGGGTCGTGCTGGGGAGTGGTCGTGCTGGGGTGTGGTCGTGCTGGGGTGTGGTCATGCTGGGGCGTGGTCGTGCTGGGGTGGGGTCGTGCTGGGGTGGGGTCGTGCTGGGGTGGGTTCGTGCTGGGGTGCTCCGCACCCTGTGATTTATCGATCGGGTCGTGCTGGGGTGTGTGTCGTGCGTGGGGGTGTGGTCGTGCTGGGGTGTGGTCGTGCTGGGGAGTGGTCGTGCTGGGGTGTGGTCGTGCTGGGGGGGGGTGGTCGTGCTGGGGCGTGCTCGTGCTGGGGTGTGGTCGTGCTGGGGTAGGGTCGTGCTGGGGTGGGGTCGTGCTGGGGTGGGGTCGTGCTGGGGTCTGGTCGTGCTGGGGTGTGGTCGTGCTGGGGTATGGTCGTGCTAGGGTGGGGTCGTGCATTTCGCTCGAGACATCCTGCCAAAATTCCAGGAAATCGTACAAAAACAAACAAATTAGTCGAAACATCATCGAAATTCCTTCGCGCGGGGCGCTTTTCCGCGTCGCGGTCGGCTCTGCAAAACAAGCGTTTCGCTCGAGACATCCTCGGCAAACTCTGCGGAGCAAGCGTTTCGCTCGAGACATCCTCAACACACGAAAAAGTGGCCCGCACCCTGTGATTTATCGATCGGGATTTCAAAAACAAGCGTTTCGCTCGAGACATCCTCAAATTTTAATTCGCCGGCCTCCTTCGACCTCGTTATTTATCAGGGAAAAAATTCGCCGGCCTCCCTCAAGTTGGCACCGGGGGACAGGTTTACCTACTAAAAGAGAACCCTGGGCCGATGCCCTTTCCGGGAATATAGGAAGAGGAATATGTATATATATATATATATATATATATATGTGTGTGTGTGTGTGTGTGTGTATTCATGTCCCTAGGCACGAGTCGGGGGGGCACGGGAGGGGGTCCCTGACAGTGCATGGGAGGACCGGGCCGCCAGGGCTGCCCCCAGACGGCCCACGACAGCCCCCCAAAAACAGAGGAGAAAACGGCCCCAAGAGGCCTGCGAGAGGGCTGCAGTCGTGGAAGCATCGCTCGAGCACGCCCAGAATGGCCTCGAGGTCGCCCAGAGGGCTTTCTTCTCACCACGGCCCAGGGGGTCCCCGAGAGCATGCTCCCAGAAGGGCCCCGAGAAGCCAAAGCCGGCGACGCCTCGATGCTCCCCTCCCTGGGCCAGTCCCCCCCCGCCCCCGATCGCTGCCCCGCAGGCGAGGTGGCGGAGCGCCTCTCGGGCGTGCGCTTCACGGGGGAGTGGAAGTACGACGGAGAGCGGGCCCAGATCCACGTCCTGTCCCGGGACAGGATCCTCGTCTACAGCCGCAACTCCGAGAACATGACCGAGAAGTATCCCGACGTGATCAAGGCCTCTAAAGGGGCCCAGGGACACACAAACGAATATACACAAATCCCAGGATCCTCCACACTTCCCTACATCCTCTGGGCTTTCATCTTCCACCCACTTCCTACATGTTCGAATCTTTTCCTGGGGGTCGACGATTAGTGTCTGTGTGTGTGTTTTGTCCCCCTCCTGAGTTTCGGAGGCGTCCACGAGGGGTATCAAGACTAAGCGTGTGCGGAGGGACATGATGGTCTCTTGTTGCTTTTCTTTCAGTGCGTCCCCTGCCCCACCCACCCCCTCAGCGCAGCTGCCTCGGGCCATGGTGCGCTGCCCCCCCTCTTCCTGGCTCTGCTTTTCGGCGAACCTGAAGGTAATCCGAGAGACGTTGTGTGAGGGCGTGGAGAGCTGCATCATCGACAGCGAGCTTGTTGCCTTCGACCTCGAGGCCAAGAAGATCCTTCCGTTCCAGGTTCTGAGCACTCGAGGACGCAAGAACATCCAGATCGAAGACATCAAGGCAGAGTTCATTTCGATCCGATCGATCCGATTCGGCATCGGCCCTGGACGGCCCGACCCGCTTCGCTTCCCCGTGCTCCGACCATCCACTGCGGCGCGATGCTCGCATGGCGCTGCTGTGCATCCTGGCGCAGCGGTTCCCATGCGACTCGCTATCCGTGCCGGGGCGGCCCGATCCGACGCGCGTTTCGATTCGATCCGGTTTCTCCCGATTCGGCGTGGACTGATCTTGCAAGGTGCAGGTCTGCATCTTCGCCTTTGACCTCATGCTCCACAACGGGACGCCGCTCGTGAAGAGGTCGCTCGAGGAGCGGCGCAACACGTTGTGGAAGACGCTCGCAGAGACGGAGGGAAAGGTAAAATTTGCCACTTACAGGAATTTCGATGAGCTTCGGGAGGAGGACGTTCAGGAGTTCCTGGATCAGTCGATAGCTGGTTCGTGTGAGGGCCTGATGCTGAAGACGATGAATGACAATGCAACGTATGAGCCGTCCAAGAGGTCTCTGAACTGGCTCAAGCTGAAGAAGGATTACATGGACGGCATGGGGGACAGCATTGACGTAGTGCCCATCGGTGCTTTCTACGGGAAGGGCAAACGGACAGGCGCCTATGGCGCTTACTTGTTGGCAATCTACAACCTCGAAGAGGAGGAGTTCCAGACGGTCTGCAAAGCAGGCACCGGATTTTCCGATGAAGACCTCGCCACGCACTACGAATTCTTCAAGGGCCGGGTGCTGAAACACCCGGAGTCCAACTACAACGTCTCCGACAAGTTGAAGCCCGACGTGTGGCTCGAGGCCTGCCAGGTCTGGGAGATCAAAGCCGCGGACCTGAGCATATCTCCGGTGCACACCAGTGCGTTCGGCGTGAAGGCCGCTGGCAAGGGCATCGGCCTCCGGTTTCCCAGGTTCCTCCGCACACGCGAGGACAAGGGTCCCGAGGATTCCACAGGCGCCGATCAGATTGTGGAAATGTTTGAAGCCCAAGCGTCCGTCGGGAAGGGCGGCGGCGGTGAAGGCGACGACGACTTCTGAGCGGATCTGGATCCGAGACTGGGGTGCATTGCACTGAGCTGACCAGTGCAGCGTGGGAGTTGGGGAGGAGGCTCGAGCGCCTCCGACGAGGCTCGAGTGCCTCTGACGGTGCTTGCCAGGGTGTGGGGACGAGGCTCGAGCGCCCCTGACGAGCGCTTGCTGGAGCAGGAAAAAGCGTGCTAGAATGGTGACCGTTGTTTCATTCATTGTTTTGCCGATCAGCGCGGGCCCTCGCACCTCCCCCTCGCCCCCCGCATGGAGTAGGTCTTGGCTGTTCTTGGCGCCTGTTTCGAGCAGGTGGAGCCTCCCCCATAGGACGCTCTAGTGCAAGCAGTCGCACGCGTTCCACGGTTCCCTGACCTTTGCACGGGTGGTCTTTGAGCGACCAGCCGATTCATATGTGCTCATGCTCCTTCGTTCGGCTCGCAGGCGTGGTGAAGCCCACTGAGTACGCGTAAGCGTATCGCTCGCATACTGTAATGACTTGCACGTTGTACGTGTATCGAGCCTGACAGACAGAACGAGCCCAATGTCTGTGGATCGCATGCATGAGAGCAAATCGGACACATGAAGTGTGAGGCGAGAGCACCAGCTGGTATTCACAGCAAGTTTGGTGCTGCCGAAATTGGAATCAACCCAGTAATGTGGAGGGCATCCTCTCGTGGGAGGCATCCATCTTCCAGTTCGGCAGTCGTGCTGATCCCCGCCCTCTCTGAGCTTCACAACCTCACAAGGGGCTCCCGGTGGAATGGGCGCGACACGCCGTCCGACTTTTGCGCCCTGACACCCCGGTCTGCCATCCTCTTCGGGCCGACCCAGCGCACCCGCTGGCGCACAGCACGCCCGGCTGTCGCAGAGGGAGAAAGGGCATTGGAGACGTCCGTCGCGCTCCCCTTCCAGAGGGTTATCGCCAGTGGAAGTCGACGTATCCACTTCCTTGACAGGTCGGCCAGGCTATGCCTTTAGGAAGCCGGTCCCTCAAATAGTGTTTGCGTCGGAGGAGTTCGTTTGTGAAGTTGTGAAGCTGGCGATGCATGTTTGCACGTCTGCGTATGTGCACACATGCCCACCGTACGAAATTAGACCTGCTTGTATGTATGCATACGTGTGTGTTGACGTATGCATGATGGTCTCCGACGCCTCTGTTTGTGATTTATGTGCCACCGCTTATTACGCAGGATATGCTTGCTCTCAAGGCCCCCCAGCGGATTTTGAGGGAGCAGCCGAAGTGCGGCGCCGATTTGGGTAGGTGGCTGGGTGTCCCGGTGCTCCCGGGTTCCAGGTTTTCGGCCCCGGCGATCTTCCCTGGCCTTCCAGAGGGCTATATGCTTTAGCACGGGAGGCCTGAATACCGAAAAGGCCAAGCGAAGCAGCCCAAAACCAAGACACAGAACAGCCCTGGGACAGGTGTTCGATCCTCCTCGTCCTCCTCCTCCTCCTCCCTCCTCCTCCTCCTCCTCCTCCCTCCTCGTCCCCCTCCTCCTCCTCCTCCCTCCTCCTCCTCTTCCTCCTCCTCTTCCTCCTCCTGAGTCGCGCGTCGGAGGCCAGGCTCCCGGGTGTCCAGGTCCGGGGTGCCTGGCGGTGTCGGGATGCCCGGGGAAAAAGGAGGTGTTTGGGTTGCGGCCAAAGCGTCCCGAGGCAGTGCCGCAGGGTGGTTTGGCCACGGCCCTGCGTCCTGAGGCACTGCCTCAGGGCGTGTGTGGATGATTCACAGCAGCGGGGTCAGGGAGTCTGCGAGCAAGAACTGACCCGAGAGAGTGGAGGGTAGACTTGTTGGAGTAGATCCATCAGAGAACAGAAGGTTCCTGAGTCTACAGACCCGAGAGTGCAGACCACAGTGGAGCAGAGAGTGTAGAGGGTAACCATTAGACAGTGTAGTGCGCAATTACTGTGGAGGCAACCGTACAAAGCGTAGAGGGACAGGGAGAGAGAGAGAGAGAGAGAGAACAAAAAAAAAGGGACAGAGACAGGAGAGAGAGAGAGAGAGAGAGAGACGGAGGAAGTGAACACGAGTCGATGAGAACAGGCAGGGTACAGTCAAGCTGATGAATAGGGCGTCGGGGGTGCCGATAGCACAGCGCTGTAGGGCGATGTTGGAGGTCTTTGGGGCCGTCTTGGGGCCCTCTTGGGGGCCTCTTGGGCCGTCTTGGGCTGATCTCGGAGGCCTCTTGGGGACATTTGGGAGGCCTCTTGCGGCGTCTCGGGCTGTCAGAGGCCGGAGAGAACGAGAGTTCACCAGATATGCAATAACGTCAGAAGCATCGTTGGTCTTGGTTCTTTGCTGCGTTTCTCAGTTTCCTTGGCCGTGGTTCCCTGTTGCGTTCCTCGGGTTCCTCGGTCTTCCCTCGTCTTGGTGTTTGCCCGCCCCCCCCCCCCCAAGTAACATCAAACGACGCCAAACAATGGAAAGGGAACGCCGCTCATAGCCAAGCCATGAAAAGCATTACAATGCAACTTGACGCGGTCGGGTCTGAGCGCCCAGCCTATGGTAAAGTGTGGCACGTACGGGCGGGAGCAGGTTTCATAAATTTGTTTTGAGGGTTCGAAAGAATCCTTCCGCTCCCCGGGGCGTGATCCGCGTGAGGGTTGCGCCAAAATTGGTCGGTTCGTCGGCCGGTCGGTCGGTCGGTTGGTTGGTTGGTTGGTTGGTCGGTTGGTTGGCGGGTTGGTTGTTGGGTTGGCTGGATGGTTGGCTGGTTGGTTGGTTGGTTGGTTGGTTGCCCTGGTGGTTGGCTGGTCGGTCGGTCGGTTGGTTGGTTGATTGGTCGGTTGTTCGGTTGGTTGGTTGGTTGGGTGGTTGGTTGGTTGGTCGGTTGGTTTGCTGGTTAGTTGATTGGTTGGTTGGCTGGCTGGTTGGTTTGGGGATCAAGTTCAGTCACAATTGTTGTAAGGGCTTCATGTTCTAAAATGGTTCAGAAACTGTTTCTGCCTGTTCAAAACTAGCCTGGCGAAGGACCCAACCATATGCAGCTGCGAGTGACGTAAGAGAGCACCTTCTCATCATAGGCAGCGCGCCGCGAGAGGAAGGAACACGGGGCAACAAGGATGGGAACCCCGAAACGTGTGCGGGGTGTGCCGAAGTGGGCTGGGGATGTATGCGGGCGCTGCCACTGGGGCCTTCGGCGGAGCTCCCTATGGGCGACGAAACATGTGAGGTGTGTGTGTGTGCGTGTGTCAAAATAGGCAGGGGAAGGCATGCGAACCCTGCCACTGGGGCCTTCGGTGGAGCTTTATATGGGACCGCGAGGCGTGTGAGGGGTGTGCCAAAAGGGAGGCGACGCCGCCATGCGAACCCTGCCGCTGAGGCCTGCAGTGGAGCTCCCTATGGGGCCATCCCTGTGGGGCCACGAAACATGTGAGGGGTGTGCCGAAATGGGCGCGGGGCCGCCATGCGAACCCTGCCACTTTCGGTGGAGCCCCCTTATGGGGCCATGGAACGTGTGAGTGGCGTACCGAAGTGGTGCGGTGGCGCCATGCGAACTTTACCACTGGGGCCTTCGGTGGAGCTCCCCGTGGGACCCCGAAACGTGTGAGGGGTGCGCCGAGGTGGGGCGGGGCCGCCATGCGAACTTTGCCACTGGGGCCTTCGGTGGAGCTCCCTGTGGGGCCTCGAAGCGTGTGAGGGGTGCGGCGAAAGGGGCGGCACCCGCCATGCGAACTTTGCTACTCGGGCCTTCGGTGGAGCTCCCCATGGGGCCACGAAACGTGTGAGGGGTGCGCCGAAGTGGGGCGGTGGCGCCATGCGAACTTTGCCGCTGGGGCCTTCGGTGGAGCTCCCTATTGGGCCACGAAACGTGAGAGGGTGCGCCGAAATGGGGCGGGGCCGCCATGCGAACTTTGCCACTGAGGCCTTCGGTGGAGCTCCCTGTGGGGCCACGAAACGTGTGAGGGGTGCGGCGAAAGGGGCGGGGCCCGCCATGCGAACTTTGCTACTCGAGCCTTCGGTGGAGCTCCCCATGGGGCCACGAAACGTGTGAGGGGTGCGCCGAAATGAGGCGGGGCCGCCATGCGAACTTTGCCACTGGGGCCTTCGGTGGAGCTCCCTATGTGGCCTCGAAACGCGTGAGGGGTGCGCCGAAAGGGACCGGGCCCGCCATGCGAACTTTGCAACTGGGGCCATCGGTGGAGCTCCCTATGGGGCCGCGAAGCGTGTGAGGGGTGTGCCGAAACAGAGACATGCGGAGGGCAGAGGCACAGAGACGGAGGAGGGAGGAGGGGAGGAGGAGGAGAGGATAAAGAAAGGAGCGCGGGGCGTTGTCTTCTCAAAACGAGGACCCAACACCACAGGATGGTCGGAAAAAAATCTGGTCCCCGAGGCACGATCCGTGTGAGGGTTGTGCCAAAATTGGTTGGTTCGTCGGTCGGTCGTTTTGGTTGGTTGGTTGCTTGGTTGGCGGGTTGGCTGATGGGTTGGCTGGTTGGTTGGCTGGTTGGTTGCTCTGTTGGTTGGTTGGTTGGTTGGTTTGTCGGTTGGTTGGTTGGTTGGTTGGTTGGTTGGTTGGTTGTTCTGTTGGTTGGTTGGTCGGTAGGCCAGTGGGCCAGTTGGCCGATTGGCCGATGGGCCAGCTAGTCGGTTGGTAGAGTTGTTTGGTTGCGCGGTTGTTTGGGTGTTTGGTTTGTTGATTGTTCGGTCGTTTGGTTGGTTGGTTCGTCGGTCGGTTGGTTGGTTGATTGATTCGTTGGTTCGTTGGTTGGTTGATTGGTTAGTTGGTCGGCCAGGTTGCCCGCTTGCCCACGTAGTTCGTCGGTGTTTGAGGGGTTGGACGAATTAACGGGTTGGAGAGTTGAAGTGGTGCCAGGTCGGAGGGATGATGAGGCCACGGCGGGTTGACGCTCGAAAGTTTGAGCGTTCTGGGTTTGACATCCTCTCTGGATTGCTTAGGGCATTATGGGATGCGTCGGGCAGTGTGACGGCGAGGATCAGTATGACAACGGTGACGACAGCGATGATGATGGGCGATGATGATGGTGAGTGATGGTGGTAAATGAAGGTGGCAGTGATGATGATGTTGATGACGCTGATGATGAGGATGGTTATGACGGTGATGCTGATGCTGATGAGGTTGATCATGATGATGTTGATGATGCGTATGATGAAAGTCACGGTGATGTTGATGATGTTGATGATGACGATGGCGATGGCGGTGGCGATGACCACGGTAATGATCATGACGATGATGTGTATGATGATGATGATGTTGATGATGGTGAAGATGATGAGTATGATGAGTATGATGATCATGATGATGAGGTTGATGATGCTGATGATGGTGATGGCAATGATGATGTTGCTGATAATGATTACGAGGGTTATGAGGATAATGATGAGGATGAGGGCGGGCATTATCAAGAGGTTAGGAGGACGGGCGATTCCGATTCCGACAATGAATGATTACGACGACCGCGGCTTACACGGATGGTGGTGCGGAGCTGGAGGAGGAGCTCCGGAGGGAGACGCATCAGCGGTCGAGGCGGGGGAGATTCAGGTCCGAGGACCGAGGGCCGAGGGCCGAAGAGGAGGGGAGGGAGGAGGACCGAGGATGGAGGATCGAGGATCGAGTAGCATCAATAAGGCGGAAGAGGAGGAAGAAAGGCGAAAGAGGAGGAGGAGGAGGAGGAGGAGAAGAAGGAGAAGGAGGAGGAGTAGGAGTAGGAGGAGGAGGAGGAGAGGGAGGAAGAGGAGGAGGAGGAAGGTGAGGAGAGGGAGGAGGAGGAGGAGGAGGAGGAGGAGGAGGAGGAGGAGGAGGGGAAGGAGATGTAGGAAGTTAAGAATCGACATTCCCAAAGAGTAGGGAATCGGGTAGGAGAATGAGTTCGACGATCGAGGGGGAGGAGGCGTAGGAGGAGAAGGAGGAGGACAATTCGGCAGTTCGTTGCCCGAATTGGTGGTGAGTTGGGTGCAGGTTCACCTGATTGTCAAGCTATCCACCGAGTGGGCCAGCTCTCTCCTCCTCTCTTGTGCTTCTCCGTGTTGTCCGATGTCCCCCCCTGCGACCCTCGAGGGTATAGCAAGGAGGCAGGAGCTGAGGAGGGATCGGGAGCAGGAGGAGGGGGAGCAGAGGAGGAGGAGGAGGAGGAGGACGAGGAGGAGGACGACGAGGAGGGAGGAGGAGAAGGAGGAGGAGGAGGACGACGAGGAGGAGGACGAGGAGGAGGACGAGGAGGAGGAGAGGAGGAGGAGGAGGAGGACGAGGAGGAGGAGGGAGGAGGAGAAGGAGGAGGAGGAGGAGGAGGAGGGAGAGCAGGAGTTTGATGACCCGCGGGAGAAGAGCAACCGCAGGACGACCGGCCGAGAGAGCCCACGCTCGAGGCATCCTCGGGAGTCCGCGCCGGCAGGGCTACGGGCACGGCTGCTTTGGCCCACTGGTGCGGCCCTTTGGAACCTGGCCGGGGTGTACCATCGGACCCAGACCCCCTCGAGTAATGAAAAAATCATGACGGGACGTTTTTCCTAATTTTCGGCCTCCGGGGGCCCTCACCGGGCCTCGGGAGCGTCAAAAAACGACTCAGGATGCAAAGCCGGTCATGGGGAAAGGGTCCAGACCTCTGGGGGTCGACGTAATGAAAAAATCATTACGTCGGGGGTCTGGGGAGGTAACCCATCTTTCTGCCCTTCGCCCATTTCTCCCTTTGGCGCCTCCTCGGAGGCCCTCGTTGCCACCGCTGGATTCGCCTCGAAATCCTGGTCAGAACGCTCCCCGGGAGAGGTCCGGGGAGTGGCGGTCTCGGTACCGTTTTGTCTCCCCACACCAGTAGGGCTATTGTGGCCAGGGCCGGAAAATGCTCAACGCAACGCAACGCATCGCAGCGCAACGCAATACAATGCGACGCAGTGCAACGCAGAGCACTTCAACGTAACGCACGCCTCGTCGCGCGTCAGCGCCGCGGGGGCCCAAGGAAAAGCAATCCCGCCCGACTCGTCACATGGCGATGCCTTGGCGGGCGGTAAAAAATGCGATTCCACTCTAATTACCCGTCGCGTGGCACTGCCGCGGTGTCCGAAGACAAGTACAACTCCACTCTTCTCGCCATGTGCAGATCAAAGAGAATCCTGAAGCACCTGATGGCACTCCACTTCGCGCCATCAGACGCGGTGGCGGAGCTTGCGTCGACGATGACGTCAACGACGACGACGACGATGAGAAGGACTAGAGAAGCAAACAACATTACTATCCTTTCCTCCTCATCGTCCTTCTCCCTTTCCCCTCCTCCTTCCTCCCTCCTCCTTCCTCTCTCCCGCCTCCCCCTTCCTGAGTCCTCTTCCTCCCTCGTCAGTCCCCCTTCCTCCTCTCCTCTCTACCTCCTTCTGTTCTCCTTCCCTATCTCCCCCTCTTCCCCCTCGCCCGCAACCCAGTGCAGCGCAAAGTACTACAAATGCAAATGCAACGCAAGGCAATGCAACAAAAGGCAATGCAATGCGCTCCAACGCACTGCAACGCAACGCAATGCAATGCGACAGGATGCAAGTCAACACAATTCATCGCAGCACAACGCAATGATCTGCAACGCAACGCAATGCAATTCAATGCCTCCTCCCCTCTCCCTCCTCCCCCCTCCTCCGGTGCCGTAGAAAATGTTTGAACCCCCGCCGTCCAGGCCCCCTCCCCTCCCCAGGGCCAGAAGTCAGTCTGAACCCCCAGGCCCCGAGACGGCGTCGATCGGCCAATGTTTGCAGGCCTCTCGCGCGGATCGTGCCTCCAGGGCTAGAAAAAAAGTTGGAGCCTTCCGGCAAACATGATCTGCGTTTGAGAGTGACCATTGGACCCTCCATGAAACTGCTGATCACCCACCCCATTGAGCCCGGTCGCCGTACGTCCCCCGGAAATGGCGAGCGACGTCCATCAGTGCCGAGCAGCGCAGAGATCCCTCGACAGCGTCATGCCATGCCGAGCAATGCGAAGCAAGGAGCTCCTTGGGGCCTGTCCGCAGGGGGGTGCACTGCACCCTCCGCCTCTTCCGTCTGCGCATCGCAGCGCATGGGAGCACGTTGCTCTCCCCTTCTCCTCTGCCTCGTCGCCGGCTTCTCGCCCTATTACGGTGGAAACCCATGCCAAGAAACGCCGGTCTCGCCTCCAGAGTGCCTTGGGTTTCTGAGGTTTCGATGGTTTTGCGATGGAAAGCGTGACCTCCCCAAACCAAAAATCAATGGACGTCCTGGGGTCTCAGGGTTGGGTTTCTTGCGGAAGGTTTCTTTTGGTCGAGCTCCTACGGTATGGTATCCCTCTTTCTTCTCCTCCTGCCGCGTCCGAATCTGACTGCCACGCGAACAAGCATACAAAGACCCATGTCCCTCGACAGTGCAAAGCAATGCAAACCAATGGCAAGCAATGCCTAGGAATGCGATGCATTGCCAAGTACTGCCTGTGTTTCCGGAGGCCTATAGAGCTTCCAGGGGCCTCCACAGTGACGACGAGGACGAGACCGAGGAGGAGGAGCTACTCGAATGGTGATGACGGCGACAACGAGGAGGGCAACAACGACGACGATGATGAAGATCGGGACGATGAGGACGATTCTGGGCAGGACGATGAGAGTGCTGCTGATGATGGTGGGCAGGAGGAGACATGATAACAACGTCGTCGCATGTGACACCGTGTAACTTACTTCTTAGGAGCTCCTTGGGGCCGTCCCGGGGGGGGCGGCGCTGGGCTCCCGTGGAGCAGTCCTGGGGGTCCATGGGGGTCCTCTCGGGTTGTCCTCGGGCTCTCTTGAGCCGTCCTGGGACCCTCCTCGCCGTCCGGACGGTCTCTCCTGGCCGTCGCGGAGCCGCCTTGAGGCCGTCTTGGGCCGTCCACAGGCCCTCTCAGATCGTCTATCTTGGAGGCCTCTCGGGCCGATTTGCCCCGACGAATGCCCGAAAAGGCGAGAATGCTACAACTTCTCTACAACTGACTGGAAATCCGTATGTTTGGCTTCTTCGGGCCATCCATCTAAGCTGCCGCAAGGCATGGTGTCTGTCAAATTCCCGGACCATCTACTGATCGGGGTCCAGTCTCCAATGCACGTGGGACATGGGATTATGAAAGGCTCAGGGATAAAGTGGAAACCCCATAAGTTGGGATGGGCCGAGCCTTTTCCTTCCTTCTGCGCTCGACCGAGCCCCCCTCGTGCATCCTTCGAGAAGAAAAAAGGACGTAAACATAAACTTCCGACGGTCCGCGCGGATTTTTGGGATCTGCTCTGGGGCCCCCCGGCGGCGCCTCTGGCGCTGCCCCTGGTGCGCTCCGCGCGCCTGGGAGAGGGTTCCAGCGCGGATACAAGAAATCCGCGCGGAGCGCTAAAAAATTATGTTCATACCTTTGTTTCTTCTTCTATGTTCGCATCTGCCCTTCGTCCTCCGTAGCCGTCACTCGAGCCAACGGCAGGGCCATGCAGTCGTTCTACCCGCGGCCTGCCCAGCCGTGGGGGGAGCTGGAAGCCGCAGACTCACAGGCCACAGCAAAAAATAAAACGCCAGTGAAAACGCACTCGCGTTTGTGACGATTCTTGCGTGTACAGGTAAGATGTGTGTGTGTGTTCTGTGTGTGGTGTGCGGTGTGTGTGCGTGTTATGTGTTTGTGTCTGTGTGTGTTCGTGTCTTCGCACGCGTGTGTGTGTGTGTGTGTGTGAATGTGGATGTGTGGATGTGTGCGTGTGTGTGTGTGTGTGTGCGTGCGTGCGTGCGCGCGTGCGTGCGAACGCGTGCGTGTGTGTCCGTGCCCGTGTGTGTGTGTGTGTGTGTTCTGTGTCTGTGTGTCTCTGTGTCTCTGTGTCTCTGTGTCTGTGTGTCTGTGTGTCTGTGTGTCTGTGTGTCCGTGTGTGTGTCTGTGTGTTTGTGTGTCTGTGTGTCTGTCTGTGTGTCTGTCTGTGTGTCTGTTTGTGTGTCTGTGTGTCTGTCTGTGTGTCTGTCTGTGTGTCTGTCTGTGTGTCTGTCTGTCTGTCTGTCTGTCTGTCTGTCTGTGTGTCTGTCTGTCTGTCTGTCTGTCTGTCTGTCTGTCTGTGTGTCTGTGTGTCTGTCTGTCTGCGTGTGCCTGTCTGTGTGTCGGTGTGTGTATGTGTGTGCCTGTGTGTGTGTGTGTCTGTGTGTCTGTGTGTCTGTGTGTCTGTGTGTCTGTGTGTCTGTGTGGTTGTGTGTATGTGTGGCTGTGTGGCTGTGTGTCTGTGTGTCGGTGTGTCCGTGTGTCCGTGTGTCCGTGTGTCTGTGTGTCTGTGTGTCCGTGTGTCCGTGTGTCCGCCTGTCCGCATGTCCGTGTGTCCGTGTGTCCGTGTGTCCGTGTGTCCGTGTGTCCGTGTGTCCGTGTGTCCGTGTGTCCGTGTGTCTGTCTGTCTGTCTGTCTGTCTGTCTGTGTGTCTGTGTGTCTGTGTGTGTCTGTGTGTGTCTGTGTGTGTCTGTGTGTGTCTGTGTGTGTCTGTGTGTGTCTGTGTGTGTCTGTGTGTCTGTCTGTGTGTCCGTGTGTCCGTGTCTCCGTGTGTGTGTGCTTGCGTGCATGTGTGCGCGTGTCTGTGTGTGTGTTTGTTTGCTTGCTTGTGTACGTGTTTGTTTTTTTGTTTGTTTGATTGATTATGTGTGTGCGTGTGTTTCCCCCCCTTTTCTCTCTGACTCCCGAGCGAGTGGAACTCGACTCGCCGCCTGCTCATGCTGATTCCTGCTACCTTTCAGTCGGGCACGTCCCTTTACAGGCGGACTGTTCAAACATGGTGAACAGATAGTCTAGGCACGATGTTTGAGCATCTGTTGACTATGTAGCTGCAGCTTCTGAATATTTTGAATTGTCCTTCCGAATCCGCCTGCAGGAGGACATGCCCGACTTAATGCTGCCTTTAGGTCGGGCATGTCCCCCCACAGGCGGATTTTGGATGAAAGCTGCAAAATTACCCCCTAAAATTCCCCACAGATATTGTCAGAACAATCGCCCCCGGATTATGTTTTGACTACTTGTGCATATCCCCCCCGTAGAGGGACAGGCCCGCCCCAATGCGACCTGCCGCAGAGGCTCGGCGGCGCGCCACGCGCGTGGCGCTCGAGCCGCTCGACGGCTCTCCCGTGTGGCGCGCGGCCTGCCTGGTCCCCCGCGGATGCACGAGCACCTACGGCTGCCTCGCCAGGCGACCCGACCGGCCTGTCTGTCGGGGGGCCCCCGGGGCTCCTCGCCAGAGGGGGAGAGGGTACCCATACAGGCCTCGGAACAAATCAGCGAACACATGCCACACTCCTCCGTCAACGCCTCCCCCATCCCCCCAATGTTCAGAGTTTGCGGTGGGTCTGATGAGATGCGCTTCGACCGCAGTCTCCCGCGCGCGTGCCAACGTTGAGTTTGCGGGGGAGGGGGAGTGTTCAGTAACTGTTTCCCTCTGCCGTACCTCTGCCTCTGCCAATTCGGCCGCTCTCCCTTTTTCCGGGGAGGCCTCCCGGGAGAGGCCCTCGTCGCTCCCGCCGGATTCCGCCCCGGAATGCCGGTCAGAGCGCGCCCGGGGAGAGGTCTGGGGGTTGGCGGTACGGGTACCTTTTGTCGGGGGCGGAAAAGAGGGGGGTGATGACTAGGGGGGGGGGATTTCATGGCGCGGGCCATGATATTTCCCCAGATTGCATGGCGCCCCTTCTTGTTTCACTACGCCCCTGGCCCCCCCACTGGGCCGCGCACATGCCGCCGGTCATGATTTGCACCCCCCCCTCTTGGACACCCCCCTCTTGGCCGCTCCCGAAGAGGTCTGGGGGTTGGCGGTACGGGTACCTTTTGGTTTCCCCCCCTCGCGCAGTGAGCAGATCACGACCAGTGTTCCCGATGGTCGTCCTCTGGAGGCGCTCAACTAGCCTGGGGGGACCCCCTCATGGACGACAAAAGCGACTCGGGATTTCAAAGACATGTCCCGAGGAAGGGGTCGAGACATCCGTGGTTCTACGCGGTGAAGAAATCATCATGCGAGGGGTCTTGGGATAGCGGGACGCGCAGTCCCCTTCGCGCTATGCCATGACGGGCCCCACCCAGCAGGGTCCATTTCTATCTTCTTCGATATCAATTTCGGCCAGCCCGATCCGACTCAATTCTGGTACGCCGACCATCCCATGCGGCCCGATGCCTGCATGGCTTTGATGTGCATCCTGGCGCAGCCGATTCGATTCGATTCCAACTCCGTGCCAGTCCGATTCAATCCCATGTCCCGACTCGATGCCGAATGGTCCCCCCCCAACTTCCCCTTCGGCGTAGCCCTGGAGTGCTGGTCGCCCGAGGCTGCTTGGGCACGGCTGGTGCCCGCAGACGGTCGGCCAGGCGCTCAAGCGCAACCCGCACGCGCCCGAAGTGCCTTGCCACCGCATCGTGCGTGCGGACGGCACGCTGGGCGGTTATTTCGGCGGCGCGGGAGCCGACGACCCGCGCGTGCGCACAAAGGTCCGGCTGCTTCGAGAGGATGCCGGGGGGGGGGGCGCCTCCATGCCGAGTGGCACACTGGCTAGAAAAACCTGTCTGCGCCAGGCAATCAGCAACGCAACCCTGTGTCAGACTGCCGTGCCTTCGCATCGAGTTTGCGCACAGCTTCCGGCGTTATTGTACATGTCGTCGCTCTCTGTTCGGGTCCTCATCGACAGCAAGAACGCAATGTTTCCTTGGAGGCAAGCTCTGCGACTCGAGCGTCTTCTCCTCTGGGACTCCTGGCGGGGGACTTACAGTCAAGGCGCTGAATAAAGGGCCAGTTCGGTTTCGGAAGGCGTTCGCTGTTCCTTCGGCCATTCCATGGTTGTTCCTAGAGCGCTCGTCGTGCACACAGGCGCTTCTTGGGCCCAAATGCGACTTCGCTCATCATTGAGCGTTACTGATGGTAGCGGCTTCACTGCAAGTGCACTCGGGAGTTGAATTTCATGATGCCTTCGGAAGTGAGCCGTGGAGGTGATTCGCCATTGAATGCCGCCTGGACCCTCACGCTGGACCCCCACCATCTCCTGCCATCTAGGAGCCCCCATGTGCCTTCCTCCCAGAGGAGTCGCCCTGAAGGGAAGGGGTCCTGAGGGAAACGGGCGTCAGACCTCGGGCTCCACAGTCCTGGGTACACCCTAGGCGATGCTTAAGAAAACTTAAGTTTTCGGACAGAGTCTCGATTATTCTTAACGTTTCAATGTAAATCCTAAGAGTTTGATAGAAATCTTGGGTTTTTATTCAAGTTCTGAGACCATGAATTTCTTAATCCATGATTTCTTAACCATTTCGCGTGGTGTAGTTTTGTTGACGGTCCAGGGGCCCTCGGAGGGCCCGAGGGGCTCAAAAATGAAGAGAAATGTGCAGGACCCGTTTCCTTCATGGCAAAGGAGCCGACGTCACTTATGCCAGCCCAGTTTGCGGAGGCCTCCCAAAATTGGTCCGAGCAGATGAGGTCGGAGGATCGCAGCACATCGCCGATGCATCGGCGCCGTCGGCGTGGAAGAGATCGGGCTCCACATCGAGCCGCATCGCTTATGCAGTGGCGACGCGGCACGATCCGCCGACCCCATCTGCTCGAGCCCCATGTGGGCGACCCAAAAAACACGGCATCGTATTCGCCGGCATTCACGCGTAAGTTGCCCGCGTAAGGCCGCGCGTAAGCGCCCTCGCTTCCAGCGTAGCGTGCTGCACTGGCGGCCTTCGTAAGCCGCCGCGTGAGTTCGATGCGCCATCTCGCGTGAGGCCCTTTTATTATCTTGCACAGGGTGTGTCGAGCTTCGACCACTTTATTCCGCGTCGCGTCGCACCCCAATCCCCCCTTCGCCCCGACCAGTTTATTCCGCGTCGCGTCGCACTCCCCGCTCCCGTCCCCCTCCCTCCCCAGCGTTCCCCAACTGCCCTCTGGAACCGCCGCCCAATGCCCCCTCTCCGCCCCGACTTCTTTATTCTGCGTCGCGTCGCCCCCCCTTTTTTCCAATCGTTCCCCAGCGGCCCAATGGAACATCCGCCCAGTGCCCCTCCGCCCCGACAATCTTATTCAGCGTTGCGTCGACCCCCGTTCCCCAGCGTCCCTCCGCGGCCCAGTGGCCCCTTTCCGCTCAGTGTCCCCTCCGCCCCGACCACATTATTCCACGTCGCGTCGCCCCCCCCTCCTTGCCCCCGCCACCCCCTTCCCCAGCGTTCCCCAGCGGCAAATTGGAACCTCCGCGCAGTGCCCTTCCCGCCCCGACCAGCGTCCCCCGCGGCCCCGTGGGCACAGACACCCGCGCAGTGCCCCCTCCGCCCCGACCGCGTTATTCCGCGTTGCGTCGCGCCCCCTTCCCTGCCCCCGCCCCCCGCCCTCCCCAGCGTTCCCCAGCGGCCCAGTGCCCCCTCCGCCCGACCATTTTATGTCGCGTCGCGTCGCTCCCACCCTCCCAGTGTTCCCCTGCGTCACAGTGGAACCCCCGCGCAGTGCCCCCTCCGCCCCAACCACTTTATCGCGTCGCGTCGCAACCCCCTCCCCGCCCCCGCCACCCTCTCCCCAGCGTTCCCCAGCGGCCCAGTGCCCCCTCCGCCCCGACCACTTTATCCCGCGTCGCGTCGCACACCCCTCCCCAGCGTTCCCCCGCGTCCCAATGGTATTCCCTCTGCCCGCCCACTTTCTTCCGCGTCGCGTCGCACCCCCCCTCCCTGCCCCCGCCACCACCCCCCTCCCAGCGTTCTCTAGCGGCCCAGTGCCCCCTTTCCGCCCGACCACCCTATTCCGTGTTGCGCCGCTCCCCTCATCAGTTTTCTTTTGCGTCCCAGTGCAAACCCCCGCCCAGTGCCCTTTCCACCCCGACCACTTTCTTCCGCGTCGCGTCGCCCCCACCTCCCTAGCGTTCCCCCGCGTCCCAGTGGAACCCCCGCCCAGTGCCCCCTCCGCCCCGACCACTTTATCCCGCGTCGCGTCGCACCCCCCTCCCCACCCCCGCCACTCCTTCCTTGGCGTTCCCCCGCGGCCCAGTGGCCCCTCCGCCCCGATCACTTTATGCCGCGTCGCGTTGCACCCCCCCTCCCCAGCGTTCCCCCGCGGGCCAGTGGAACCCCCGCTCAGTGCACCCTCCTCCCCGACCGTCGCACCCCCCTCCCTGCGAGATTCGGTCTCTTTACAACCAGAACAACCACTTTACAACCAGATGGGTTACTTTACAACCAACATAGGATTGGAAAGTATGGTTTTTCATCGAGAACGTCCACTTTGCAACCAGAACGGCCCACTTTACAACCAGAACGGACCACTTTACAACCAGAACGGGCCACTTTACAACCAGAACGGGCCACTTTACAACCAGAACGGACCACTCAACCAGAGAGTGGCCGCGCGTGTTTGGGCGTTCCGCAAAGTGCTCCAGAGCAAGTGGGCGCTCTGAAAAATGCCCCAGAGCAAGTGGGCGCTCTGAAAAATGCTCCAGAGCAAGTGGGCGCTCTCAAAAGTGCTCCAGGGCGCGCGGACGCTCTGAAAAGTGATCCAGAGCACGTGGGCGCTCTGGAGCCCGAGCGCCTGAACTCTTTGCGCAGGCCCCAGCGATGCCTCTGAGCCCGAGGACCTGGACGGTCTGCGCAGGCCCCAGCGATGCCTCTGAGCCCGAGGCCCTGGACGCTCCGCGCAGGCCCCAGCGATGCCTCTGAGCCCGAGCGCCTGGACGCTCTGAGCAGGCCCCAGCGATGCCTCTGAGCCCGAGCGCCTGGACGCTCTGGCGCTCTGAGCCCAGCAGACTAAGACAGGGCTTGCTAGCAGGGGCCAAGCGGCCTCAACAAGGGCCCCGTGCTCGCACGGGAATAAGGCGACAGCGTACGTAGGAAGGCTCAGGGCGACGCGCTGCCCATTTTAGGGGTCACTCACAGGAAGCGGGCCCAGTGGCCTCCACAAGGGCCCAGCGCTCCAGGGAACTAGGCCATTGACACCGCGGGTCTCTTGGGCCACGTTGGCCCCTGAAGCCCCACGGTGTTCTGCAAGGGGCTAAGTGCGCCAGCTCCAGTTGGCCCCCTGCTGCTCCTCGTCTTGGAAGATCGAGGTTCAACGTTCCGAATAAATGCAACTATTTCGAAGATCGTTTCTTCCAGCGTCAGCCACAGTGCCAGCGCAGCAACGCAGGTATCCTGCTCGGGCAGCAGCCTCAGCCACCGTGCCAGCGCAGCAGCTTGAGCCACCGTGACAGCGCATCACCGCCACCTTTGTGCCTGCTACCACCACGCTTACCGCTGCAGCCCCGCTACCTCCACAATTCCGACTGACCCCCCGCTACTACCGCAAATCCCATTGCAGCCCAGCTACCACCACAGTTCCCACCGTTGCCTGGCGACCACCACAGTTGCCACCGCAGCTTCCCAACACCATGCAGTTCCCATTGTAGCCCCCGCTACCACCACATCTCCCACTGCAGCTTTCCACTGCCATGCAGCTCCAGTCTTGGACGGGATCATGGTTTATTCGTATGTCCTGCGCGACTAGCCTTCGCCCGTCAGAAAAAAAAGGCAGAGCAAGCAATGGCAGAACTGACCGACAGAGCTTAGAGAGCAGGTCAAAACTCGAATCCGCCCACCAGCACGCAACGTGCCATAGCGCACCAGGTCGCCGCATCGCCAACTCGCGCGCAGTGCTTCTTCGTGCGCGATGGGCAACTTACAACCAACATGCCTCAAAGAGCCCAAAGCCACCCTTGCGCTTGCCCACGGAGATTTCAGGGAAAGGCACGCGTGCATTCAATCTGTGTTTTTACTTGCCTGGTTGTAAAGTGCCCTTCCTGGTTGTAAAGTGCCCTTCTCGGATTATGTAAGCTGGTTGTAAAGTGACCCATATGGTTGTAAAGTGCGCTTCTGGTTGTAAAGTGACCCACACGCCCCTCCCTGCCCCCGCCACCCCTCCCCAGCATTCCCCACCTGCCCAGTGTCCCCTCCGCCTCGACGACTTTATTCCGCGTCGCGTCGCCCCCCCTCTTCAGCGTTCCCCCGCATCCCATTGGAACCCCTGCCCAGTGCCCCATCCGCCCCGACCACTTCCAAGTCGCGTAACACCCCCCTCCCTGCCCCCGCCACCCCCCTCTCCCCTCTCCAGCGTCCCCCAGCGGCCCAGTGACCCCTCCGCCCCGACCACTTTACCCCGCGTCGCGTCGCCCCCTCCCCCCCCAGCGTTCCCACCCGTCCCAGTGGAACCCTAGCCCAGCCCTCCGCCCCGACAACTTTATTCCGCGTCGCGCCGCCCGCCCTCCCCTCTTCACCGCCCCCGCAACCCCTTCCCCAGCGTTCCCCAGCGGCCCAGTGGCCCCTTCCGCCCCGACCATTCCATTCCGCGTCGCATCGCCGCCCTCTCCCCAGCGTTCCCCCTCGTCCCACTCGAACCCTCCGCCCCGACGGCGTTATTCCGAGTCGCGTCACACACCTCCCCCCGGCCCCCGCCACCCCCTCCCTAGCGTTCCCCAGCGGCCCAGCGGCCCTTCCGCCCCGATCACTTTATTCCGCGTCGCGTCGGTCCCCCCTTCCCCTCCTTCCCCTCCCCCGCCACCCCCTCATCGGCGTTCCCCAGCGGCCCAGCGCCCTCTTCCGCCCCGACAACGTTATTCCGCGTCGCGTCGCTCCCACTCCCCAGCGTTCCCCCGCGGCCCAGCGGAACCCCCGCCCAGTGCCCCCCTCCGGCCCGACCACTTTATCCCGCGTCGCGTCGCACCCCCCCTCCCCGCCCCCGCCCCCCCCTCCCCACCAGCGGCCCAGTGCCCCCTCCGGCCCGACCACTTGATTCCACCCTTCCCAGGGTTCCCCCCCGTCCCAGTGGAAGTCCCGCCCAGTGTCCCCTCCGCCCCGATCACTTTGTTCAGCGTCGCGTCTCGCCCCCCCCCCGGCCGCCGCCGCCCCCCCCTTGCGTTCCCCAGCGGCCCAGTGGCCCCATTCCGCCCCGATCATTTCATTCCGCGTCGCGGCGCCCCCCCCTCCCCAGCGTTCCCCCGCGTCCCAGTGGAACCCCCGCCCAGTGCCCCATCCGCCCCGACCACTTTATTCAGCGTTGCGTCGCACCCCTCCTCCCCGCCTCCGCCACCCCCTTCCCCAGCGTTCCCCAGCGGCCCAGTGCCCCCTCCGCCCCGACCACTGCATTCCGCGTCGTTGATATTCCCCCGCTTCCCTCCTCCTCCCTCTTCCCCCCTCCTGCCCCGCACCACCGTCATGCCTCCCCCTGCTCCTCCTCCCCCTCCCCCTGCTCCCTCCCGCCGCCCGGCCACAATGCCTCGCCGCACTGCCCGACCTCCCCGACCGCTTGACCAGAACGCCTCGCCGCACTGTCGGCGTCGGGGAGGAGCGGTGGCAGAAGGGGGGGGGGGGGCGGGAGCGGCGGGAGCCGGCGCCAGCGCCCCGCCGAAGTGCCACCAGCCCTTTGGGCGCAGGTGCGCCGGCGTATTCTCCCCGTCGAAACATTCACTCCCCATCCGTCAGAGCGAGGGCGGGCGGTCGGAGCGCCCAAGGTGGGCCAGTTCCTCCCTCCCCCTCCGTCTTCCCTCCTCCCCCCGCCCTTCCCCCCTCCTCTCTCCAGACCTCGCGACTACAGTGCTCTCTCGAGCCATCTTGGAGGCCATCCGAGGGTCACGGCGGCCCTTCTGGAGCACTCTCGGGCCATCTTGGACGCCCTGACCGCGCGCTCCCTCTCCCCGGAAACAAGCTGGGGGGGAGGGGGACGGCATCCCTCCCTGAAGGAAAGACGAGGTTGGGAAGAGGAAAGGTGCCTACGCTAGACAGCCTGCGCCCAGAGGGCTGGTGCGATTTCGGCAGGGCACCGGCGCTTGTCCCCCCCGGGATAACTATTTTCCTCCTCCTCCTCCTCCTCCTCCTCCTCCTCCTCCTCCTCCTCCTCCTCCTCCTCCTCCTCTTGCTCCTCCTCCTCCCCTCCTCCTCCTCCTCCTCCTCCTCCTCCTCCTCCTCCTCCTCCTCTCCTCCTCCTCCTCCTCCTCCTCCTCCTCCTCCTCTTGCTCCCCCTCTCCCCTCGCGCATCTACAAGAGCCACTGCACGCTTGCCACTTGTTATGGCCTGGACGTCGGGAGGCCTCCAGTCTGGGAGCCCTGTCCGGGCCCCCCCCTCCCAGAGGAAGGCGTGCGGCTGCAGGCAGCGGGCGCGGCGCCCCCGCGGGTGCACGCCAGCTGCATGTGGCGCTTCCCCCCGGGCGCCGACTGGAGGGCCGTGCGGCTCCCGGGCGAGCGCTCCTCGGGCGCCTGACCTCACGAGGCTCTCTCTGACGGCCCTGCGGAGATGCAGTCCTCCTCCTCCTCCTCCTTCTCCTCCTCCTCCTCCTCCTCCTCCTCCTCCTCCTCCTCCTCCTCCTCCCTCCTCCTCCTCCTCTGCTCCTCCTCCTCCTCCTCCTCCTCCTCCTCCTCCTCCTCCTCCTCATCATCATCATCATCATCCTCATCCTCATCCTCATCCTCATCCTCATCCTCCTCCTCCTTCATCTTCGAGAGGGTCGCCCACAGCTGGCCCACCGAGCCGGAGGAGGCCGGGGCGCACGCAACGGAGGGCAGCGCCAACGGGAGTCGCCCAATCCCCTCGGGCCGGCCCGGGTCTCGGAGCCAAGGCGGGACCCATTCCCCTCGCCCGCGCCGCTGACCTGGGGCTGGGGAGCTGCCAAGTCGCCGGCCGGGCTTCGCGAATGGGCCACTGCCGACCCGTGTGTGGACCTGGGGAAAGTGCGCCCTCGGGGAGGGCCAATCGAGACCACGGCGGCCCTCCCTGCGGGTTTTCGTCGTTCCTTGGCCTCTTAGGGGGGGCCTTTCGTCGCCACGGCTGGATCCGCCTCGGAGGAAAAAACGGGTGAGGACGTGCCCCCGGAGGGGTTCGAGGACCGACGTCGAGCGGAGCTGAGCCGGGCGGAAGAGCGCCTGTTGTCTCGAGTGGCCCTCCTCCGAGGTGGTGCTTCTGCCATGGGCTTTGCCATCGACACCTGGTTGGGTATCTGCCCTGTCGGCTGCTCCCTGGGCCCCCGAACCGCGGCCTGCGGGAGTCTCTCTGCTGCACGCCGCCCGTGGATCTGGGGTCGACGGTGGCATTCGACCGGCTCGATTCGGCCACGCGCAGAAAAGGTATGGTGGAGGGAGGAAGGGTCCTTCTTAATGTCAGCTTTGTCATTAACAAATGAGGCCCCCCTCCCCCGGGGCTGATGAATAGACCCCGCGGGGCGGGAAACAAGTTATCAATCACGCGCGCCAGAACTCGGGCAGACTTCGGCCTGTCTGGCCTCCTCTCCTCCTCCACCTCCTCCTCTTCCTCCTCCTCCTCCTCCTCCACCTCCTACTCCTCTTTCCTCCTCCTCCACCCTCCTCCTCCTCCTCCTCCTCCTCCTCCTCCTCCTCCTCCTCCTCCTCCTCCTTCTCCTCATCCTCATCCTCATCCTCATCCTCCTCCTCCCCCCTGGACGGGCCCCACGGCCCACCCGCATCCCGCAACTGCATTCCGCCAGGGCCAGGGCGGCGGGCGCGTTGTCGAAGGCGCCTCGCGCAGCCCCGCCCGCGGCCGCACGCGGCGGCACGGCGCGGGCACGCGTTCGGCAGCGGCCAGAATTCACCGAGGGGGCGGCGTGTCCTGGGCAGGAGGGGGAGGGGGAGGAGGAGGAGGAGGAGGAGGAGGAGGAGGAGGAGGAGGAGGAGGAATGAGGGGAAGGAGGAGGAGGAGGAGGAGGAGGAGGAGGAGGAGGAGGAGGAATGAGGGGAAGGAGGAGGAAGGGGGGGGAGGGACGGGCCCAGGAAAGAGAGAGCATCGACCTCAAAAATCGCCCAGTCGTCGTCGATCGGGGCCTGGGCGCCCCAGCGCGCCAAGAGGAGGCCGTGCTTCTCCATCGGCGGCGCACGGCCGATCTGTTGCCGGCGATGCATCGCCAATTCCAAGTCGATATTTCCCCGCATGGGCCAGTGCCCTCCCCGTCGTTGCCCCAGAAGGCTTGTCGGCGATCACGTGGGTGCGGGCGTCAGGAGGACATGCTTCGAATGAGGCCCCCATCACGTCCTGGACCAGGCCCGCCCGTGGCCCGCTGGAGTGCTTTCAAAGAGTGAAGACGGCACTGCATGTCCAGTAAGGATATTAGTAATATGATATTAGTGGTGAGGGTGACGTGCATGTCGATGAGGAAAACGCTTTCATGTTGGCACTTTGTGTTTACGTCAGGTCTGCTCAGCTCAGTGGGGCAATGGCGCGAGGGTCGGTGGCATGGAACGACTGCAAGCGTTGTGCGCATATGATTTATGCTTGTGTCGTTGGCGCTTGGCATTCGAAGGGGACGCATCATCCGTGCCCGCCTGATCGAGTTAACGTTTCAGGCTACTGGAGTATTCGCTCTCGTGTTTTTGTTTGTCGCGCTCGTGCAAGAGGCTCTGTTTTGTGCCGACGCTGCAGGGGTACAGCGAGAGACCCCGGCCACGCGATGATACCGACAGGAGCCCCCCGCAGCCGTTCCGGCTGCGAAGCCCGCCCCGAGCCGCGCGGCTTGGGTCGCGCACCGTGCCGAACCCTCCGCCGGCAACCTGCGCAATCGGGCGACTGCATGTGTGCTCCATGAGCGACCAGCCCGGCAAGCCCGAGGAGAGCGACGAGAAGCCGGGAGAGGCGGATGATGGGAGCCGGGGGAAGGCACAATGACACGAGCATATGAAAACTCGGAGGTCCGCGCGGACTTCTCGGATCTGCGCTGGAGGGAGGGGGGTCCAGTAAAACAGGGCTAGGATCGGGATATATCGCTCCAGAGCGTTCCGGAGCGCTCTCAGAGCGTTCCGGAACGCTCTGGAGCGGCCGCGGCGCCCAATACCTCCTCCAAGCCCGCCGCTTCTCAGAGATTTCGAGAGTCATCCCGATCCGAGCTTGTCCCCATCTTCGCGTCGTGTTATCCCGCGCGGATCCGAGAAATCCGCGCGGAGCTCCGAGGTTGCATGCTCATGCCACTGTTCGTTAAAGGCTTAACGACTTCAGCCGTCCTTCGACTCGCGCTGGAGCGGCCGCGAAGTGCTCGAACTTTCCCTGGAGATCTCTGGATTTACCTGGATTCACCCAGATTTATCTAGATTTACCTGGATTTACCTCGATTTATCTGCATTTACCTGGGTTTATCTGGCTCGATTCTCACAAGTCGATTGGCGAAAAGTCGACAAGCCCTAAGGGAACTGTGCGTCCCCCCAGGAGCGCCGCGGCGGGGCCCCCGGCAGCGCAGGCGCCGCCGGCCGGAGGCGGGGAGGAGCGGGCAGCGCCCCGCGTCCCCGCGGAGCCGCGCCGCCCGCTGCTGCAGCGCCTCGGCCAGCACGAGGTCTCACCGGGGGCGTTACACTCCTCGCAAAGTTCAGAGCCCCGAACCCAGATCCCCTCGAGTAATGAAAAAAATCACGACGGGAGGTTTTTCGCCATTTTCGGCCTCCGGGGGCCCTCGCCGGGCCTCGGGAGCGTCAAAAAACGACTCAGGATGCAAAGCCGGTCATGGGGAAAGGGTCCAGACCTCTGGGGGTCGACGTAATGAAAAAATCATTACGTCGGGGGTCTGGGTTCAGAGCCCCGAATCATCAGGGGTAACTCGGGTCAGGGCTAGCTCGGGTTCGTTTTTCGGGAATCCGAGCCCGACTTACCCCGGACCCGAGTTACCCCGGATAATTCGGGCGTCCAGAGCCCCACATCATCAGGGGTAACTCGGGTCAGGGCTAGCTCGGGTTCGTTTTTCGGGAATCCGAGCCCGACTTACCCCGGACCCGAGTTACCCCGGATAATTCGGGCGTCCAGAGCCCCACATCATCAGGGGTAACTCGGGTCAGGGCTAACTCGGGTTCCTTTTTCGGGAATCGGAACCCGAGTTACCCCGGGCAACTCGGGCGCCCAAAAAGTGAATCACTCGGGCGCCCAAAAAGTGCCTACTCGCAAACGCCCGAAAAGACACCTGTCTGCTCTGACGCAGTGTCTCGTAGATCCCCGGCGGGGGATCCAGGCCACTTGCGAGTAGTTACGCTTTACGAGTAGTGGAACGCGCTCTTCGAGGCCATACGCCTCCACAAGCTCCTGGGGCACCGGTTCTACGAGGTCGCCATGGCGAAGGACCGGCAGCTCATGGTGGACGAGTGTGTATCCAGGAGGCCTCACGGCTCGCGGCCGCTGCGCCCACGCGGGGCTCCGTCCGACTCCTCCGACTCGATGCGATGTCGATGGAGCTCGATTCTGACTCGATTCGGCCTCGGATTGCGAATTAGATTCCGGCTTATCAATTTGATGCCTTGTTGACCTGCTGCTCTCCGCCGATTCGGCTTCTCCCGATTCGGCTGCCGATTTCCGCTGGTCCGATGGATTTCGACCGCCGATCCGACTTATCGATTCGATTCCGGGCACTCCTGCCCGCGTCTTGCAGGCGGCGAGCGAGGGGGGAAGTGAGAAGGAGAAGACCCTCTCAGAAGGCGGCGGGACTTCCCAGAAGCCCTCGGGTCTCCTGAGAGGACTTCTGCATTTTCGGGGAAGGCTTAGAAAACTTCTCAGAAGACTGAGCGACCTCCGAGCCTTCTGAGAAGGTCCGCCCCTTCTCACTTCCCCCCGTGCTCGCCGCCGAGTCTTGCATCGAAGAAGAATAAAGGGGATAAACATAAACTTTGGGGCGCTCGGCGGGGATTTCTTGAATCTGCGCTGCGCGTTCCGCGCGCCAGGGAGAGGGTCGCAGCGCAGATCCAGGAGATCCGCGCGGAGCGCCAAAAGTTTGTATGGATTGCATCCTTCTTTTTCGACACAGATCCCAGGATTCCCCATCTTTTTCCATATTTTCTGGAGCTTCGTCTTCCCCTCCACTTCCCATGTTTTCCTATATGTTTGATGGAATCGACGTCTACTTGTGGCTGTGCGTTTTCCCCTCCTGGTAAGCGGGTTGTGCATGTGGCAGACTGGCACCACGGGGAGGAGGGAAGATACGAAGGCGGCCCCCGAGGGGGGGGGATTGGGGCTGAAACGGAGCAGGGCACTCAGGTCATGAAGAGCTTCCGACGGGGGGGGGGTTCTCCTAGTCTTCCTCACCCTCACTTTTTGTTTATCATGTTTTTGAAGATTTCACCATAATTCTCCTTGTAGATGATTTCAACGGGATCCCTTTTGTAGAGGATTTGGGCTGAAACAGGGCATGGCGCTCAGGTCATGAAGAGCTCGGCGCTGGTGCTGTGGCCCAGGCTCCCGGTGGGCATCGGGCCATGGGGCGGCTTGGGAGGCGGGGCTCGCGCGCTCCTTACGAGAGGGGTTGTGCTTGCCAGGAGGCGCAGCAGATGGTGCGGCAGCTCACGCCGGCCAGGGCGCAAGCAGCGGAGGGATGGCAGCAATAAACTAGGCCTCTGGGATGGGGTCCGAGCAGATGGGGAGGATCGCGCCGCATCGGCGATGCATCGCCGATGCGGCTCGATGTGGGGCCCGATTTGCTTCACGCGGACGTCGCCGATGCATCGCCGCTGCATCGCTGATGCATCGGCGATGTATCGCCGATGTGTCGGCGAGGCAGCGAGATCCCCCAGCCCTATCTACTCGGACCCCATCGAGGAGGCCTCTAAAGAAGGGGGCGGAGGCACAATACGATGAATGACGATCTCAAGCCTGTCACTGGGATTTCTCCGCGCCAAGAGTGGGTTTTCGGCGACCGCGTCGCCTCTGCATTCGGACTGGCCTGGTCCAGAATGGCGGTGGCCCTCCCTTCTGCCGGCACGCGCGACGCAGGAGCGGCGAAGGGAGGAGCAAGGAAAGCCTTGCCTGACTGCACTGCTCCACTTCGAGGAGCCGGCGCTGGACACGACGACGACGACGACGACGACGACGACGACGACGACGACGACGACGACGACGACGACGACGACGACGACGACCGACGACACACGGCCGACGACACACGACCGACGACACACGACCGACGACACACGGCCGACGACACACGACCGACGACCGATTTCGACGCCCGACGTGGTGGCCGTCGGTGTGGTCCGCGGGTCTGTGCTGACGACATGGATGCCCTCCTCCACGTCGGGAGGAGCCGACAGAGCGTTCCGAGGCTTTGAGAAGGCCGCGGCATCCGAGGCACCTTCCAGGGCCGCCGGATGTCAGAGATTCAAACACACTGTGGAACACAAAAACATGCAAAAACACAACAAAACACACAAAGCACACAAAACACACAGAGTCTGTGTGTTTGTTTGTGTTTATTGTATGTTTTTTGTATGTTTTCTCCTACAGATTGCTCCTCACCTGCACTGGCCCTCGTCCCGGCTTCGTCTTTGCGGCGGGCGAGGAGGAGCCCCGCGGCTGAGCGGCGAGGGCAGGGGCCAGGCGGGGCCCGAAGGGGAGAAGGAGCCGCAGCCTGTCGGCAGCGGCAGGTACTGTAAAACGGGCGGGCGCGCCTCCTGCCTCCGTCGCGTGCTCCCCGCGTGGCATGAGAACGCAGCCGCGCACACGGCCCCGCGCAGGGGAGGAGGAGGAGGAGGAGGAGGAGGAGGAGGAGGAGGAGGAGGAGGAGGAGGAGGAGGAGGAGGAGGAGGAGGAGGAGGAGGAGGAGGAGGAGGAGGAGGAGGAGGAGGAGGAGGTGACAGAGGAGGAGGAGGAGGCGGAGGAGGAGGAGGAGGAGGAGAAGGAAGAGGAGGAGGAGGAGGACTGCTCGGGACTGCTCATTACGCACCCGGGGGCGAGGTGGTGCGAACATAAGACTGAGCACTCCGCACGGATCACTACGCAGGAGGCGGAGCGCGCGCGGCTTGCTCTTCCACGATCTTGCCGTGGGGAGCTGCGCGGCCACAGGGAGTGCGGCCGTCTCGCCCCGCGTGGTCGCGGGTGTAGAGGCCTTCGTCATTCTTGGCAAGTTTCTTTTGGCCCTTGCGCGGCCTGCACAGGGAGCTGCGAGGTGGCGTTGGTCTTGCGTCGTTGTCTTGCCGCAGGCGCGGCAGAAATACAAGCAAAATTTGGGAACGAAATGGAGCTTGTGAGTCGCGTGGAGCTCGCGACCGCACGCGCTGACGGGGCCAAGGACTGGCCCGACCAGTTCACTGGCCGTTGGCTCTGATGGCCTGGATTCGCACTGAGTGGCGCAGGCTGCGCGGACGTGTTACCTGGCGCTACACGCTGAGCATCTGTATTTGCTCTCGTGGAACTTGGGCGGGTGCTGACTGGAGCGGACGACGAGCTGGAGCACGGTCCGACGCTTACTTTTGGCTGCAGAGGGCCGCTCCGCGACCCACGGCTCGATGGCCAGGGCGTCGGCAAGCGCGCGGCGAGCGCGACGACGAATCAAGGCACACTGCGTGTCATATAGGTCCGTCGGTGGTGGAGCGCCGACGAGAGCACGGTGGCGCGCGAGGCCTGGGCGGCTACGCCAGCCCAAAGCATCTGCGCAGGCGTTGCCCAGCGTGCGGTAAAGAGGACTGGGTCGGCTGCGATCCCGAGTCGCGAGAGGGGCGCCACTGCACATCAACGCTGCCAGGGCCACGACAGCGGGCGACGTGGCCAATGTGCTGCCAAAGGTCCTGGTTAGCAGCCTCAGGAGGGCGCTGAGGGCGGCTGAGCCTCAACCCGCTGTAGAGCGGGAGATGACCTGCGACAAAGCAGAGGTCACCTAGCGAATGCCCGAGGGCAAGCGCGAAAGCGAGCAATGCGGCACGAGCTACGGCTTGAGCTGGGCCCTGAGGGCCAGCGATCGCGCCGCCCCAGGGGACCGGGGACCCTTTCCCCAGGGCTGCGCTTGAGGGGCGTGGTCGCTGCTCCTACCCTGCGGCGGGGGGGGGGGCCGAGCTGGGTGGACCGCCCGACCCGTCTCCGAACAGGGTAAGCAGTCCATCCCGATCCCCGCACTCCTCCCAGCCCCGCCCAACCCAGGTCAACCTACCGTCCCCTCCCACGAGGGCAGAGACGCGACAGGTGTCAGCACAGGCGGGCACTCCGCGGAGCCAGTGCGCGGGCTGGGACCCTGCCCCAGCAAGGGCAAAGGGCAGCAGGGCGTCAGACTTGCCACAGTCCGCGCGATCGCGGCTGCACTTGCACAGCCAGACGCGGTGCATGAGAGCCTCCTCCGGTTCGCCGCACCTTGGGCAGATGGCGCTGGCCTCGCACCCAGCATCTTCAGTCGCGTCCTCGGCCACCGCGCGCCAGAATACCTCGCAGATGTTGCGGGCCCGCCGGTCGGACGGGCCCTTCTTGATGAACTTCTCCGCCTGGACGTCTGGGCCTCCACGCTGGACGCCTTCGCCGTCAGGGTGACGACTGGCGTCGTCCCAGGTGCGGTGCTCGATGGACTCGCTGAAGTCAAAGACGAATTCAGACGGATCGTCTCCCAGTCGCTCTGTTCGGAGTGTGGTGGCAGCCAGGTCGGCTTTCCAGGTTCGCCTTGTCGTGGGGGTCGCGTCCGCTCGTGCTGTAGCGGGCATGTCCAGCCCGCATCCACCAAGATAACCAGCACCGCTAAGATGGACCCCAAGACCTTGTGCCACTTTTTGCTGCCCAGGCTACGGGTCTCGGCGTTGAGGAGTTTCCAGGCTTTGGTGGTGTGTTTTTGTGGTAGCACGGGGTACCGAACAACAAGTGGAGCCACCCGAGGATGGTCTGTCTTCTGAGTTCGATGGCGGGGTCCTCCCCCTCCTCCTCCTCCTCCTCCTCCTCCTCCCTCCTCCTCCTCCTCCTCCTCCTCCTCCTCCTCCTCCTCCTCCTCCTCCTCCTCCTCCTCCTCCTCCTCCTCCTCCTCCTCCTCCTCCTCCTCCTGCCGCCCATGCACAGATCGGCGAAAGATGTAGTGGGGCACCGTCCAGGTACGCGTCTGCCAATCTCCCATGCTGCCTGTCTGCGCCGCTGCGGGATCGAGGACGGCGCGAGGCCCACGGGAGGGAGAAAGTACGCAGACAAAATTCAGCGGCGATTTCCAGGAAAAGATTGGTACATATGGGAAGTGGGGGGAAAACAAAAACCCAGAAAAGATGGGAACATCTAGGGAATCCTGTTACTTCCGCAGGTGCCCACGGGCCCCGAGCCCGCAGTCCAAGGACCCTTGGCGATCTCGGCGAGGCAGGCGCGCATGCGGATTTTGCCTGTGATGCGGTTGGTCTTGCGATTCGCTTTGCCTGTTCTCTGGG